TTGAGAATGATACTCGCTGTGGGCTTTTGGTAGATCGTTTTTATGATATTGAGGTATGTTCCCTCTATCCCTACACTGTGAAGAGTTGTAATCAAGAAAGGACGCTGTACTTTGTCGGATGCTTTTTCTGCATCTGTTGAGAAGATCATATGGTTCTTGTTCTTTCTTTTATTAAAGTAGCGTATCACGTTGATTGACTTGCGGATGTTGAACCAACCTTGCAGCCCAGGAATAAATCCCACTTAGTTATGGTGAATAATCCTTTTATTGTACTGTTGGATTCTATTGGCTATTATCTTGGTAGGAATTATTGCATCCATATTGATCAGGATATTGGTCTGTAATTCTCCTTTTCTGTGGGATCTTTGTCTGGTTTTGGGATTAAGGTAATGCTGGCCTCATAGAGTTTGGAAGTTTTCCTTCCATTTCTATTTTTTGAAACAGCTTCAGAAGAATAGGTATTAATTCTTCTTTAAATTTTTGGTAGATTTCTCCTGGAAAACCATCCGGTCCTGGACTCTTGTTTGTTGAGAGATTTTTTTTTTTTTTTGAGAGATTTTTTGATTATTGCTTCAATTTCCTTGCTGGTTATGAGTCTGTTCATGTTTTCTATTTCTTCCTGTTTCAGTTTTCTTAGTTTCTATGTCTCTAGGAATGCATCTATTTCTTCCTGATTGCCTAATTTGTTGGCATATCGTTGTTCATAATATGTTCATATAATTGTTTATTTCTTTGGTGTTGGTTGTGATCTCTCCTCTTTCATTCATGAATTTATTTATTTGGGTCATTTCTGTTTTCTTTTTGGTAAGTTTGGCCATGGATTTGTCAGTCTTATTAATTCTTTCAATGAACCAGCTCCTGGTTTGTTGATCTGTTCTACTGTTCTTTTGGTTTCTATTTCATTGATTTCTGCTCTAATCTTTATTAATTCTCTTCTGCTGGGTTTAGGCTTTATTTGCTGTTCTTTCTCCAGCTCCTTTAGGTGTAAGGTTAGGTTGTGTATTTGAGACCTTTCTTGTTTCTTGAGAAAGGCTTGTATTGCTATATACTTCCCTCTTAGGACTGCCTTTGCTAAATCCCAAAAGTTTTGACCAGTTGTTTGTCATTTTCATTTGTTTCAGTGAGTTTTTAAAAAATATTTATTTATTTGGGAGAGAGAGCATGCGTGTGCACAAGCAGGGGGAGGGGCAGAGGGAGACGGGAAAACAGGCTCCCTACTGAGCAGGGAAGCCCAACCCGGGGCTCAATCCCAGGACTCTGGTATCATGACCTGAGCTGAAAGCAGACGCTTATCTGACTGAGCCACACAGGTGTCCCTCCATGAATTTTTTAAATTCTTCTTTAATTTTCTGGTTGACCCGTTCATTTTTTTTTTTTTTAAGATTTTATTTATTTTGACAGATAGAGTACAAGGAGGGGGAGCGGCAGGCACAGGGAGAAGGAGAAGCAGGCTCCCTGTTCAGCAGGGAACCCGATGTGGGGCTTGATCCCAGGATCACGACCCCAGGCAAAGGCAGACACTTAACTGTCTGAGCCACCCAGTTGCCCCGACCCATTCATTCTTTAGTAGGATGCTCTTTAGTCTCCATGTATTTGAGTTCTTTCCAAATTTCCTCTTGTGACTGAGTTCAAGTTTCAAAGCATTGTGGTCTGAAAATATGCAGGGAATGATCCCAGTCTTTTGGTACCAGTTGAGACTTGATTTGTGACCCAGTATGTGATCTATTTGGGAGAATGTTCCATGCGCACTAGGGAAGAATGTGTATTCTGTTGCTTTATGATAGAATGTTCTGAATGTATCTATGAACTCCATTTGGTCCAGTGTGTCCTTTAAAGCCCTTGTTTCCTTGTTGATCTGCTTAGATGATCTGTCCATTGCAGTGAGGGGGATGTTAAAGTCCCCTACTTACTATATTATTATGAATGTGCTAATTTTGTTATTAATGGTTTTATATAATTTATGCCCCATGTTAGGGGTATAAATATTTACAATTGTTAGATATTCTTGTTGGATAGACCCTTTAATTGTGTTAATAGTGTCCTTCATCATCTTTTATTACAGTCTTTGGTTTAAAATCAAGTTTGTCTGATATAAGGATTGCTACCCTAGCTTTCTTTTGATGTCCATTACCATGATAAATGGTTTTCCACCCCTTCACCTTCAATCTGGAGGCATCTGTGGGTCTAAAATGAGTCTCTTGCAGATGGCATTTTGATGGGTCTTGCTTTTTTATCCAGCCTGATACCCTGTGTCTTTGGAGCATTGAGCCCATATACATTCAGAGTAACTATTGAAAGATACGAATTTAGTGCCATTGTATTACCTGTAAAGTCACTTTCTCTATATTGTCTCTGTTCCTTTCTGGTCTATGTTACTTTTGGGCTCTCTCTTCACTTAAAGGATCCCCTTTAATATTTCTTATAGGGCTGGTTTAGTGATCACAAGTTTTTTTAGTTTCTATTTGTCCTGGAAGCTTTTTATCTCTTCTTTTAGTTTGGATGACATCCTTGCTGGATAAAGTATTCTTGGCTGCATATTTTTCTCACTTAGCAACCTGAATATGTCATACCAGTCCTCTCTGGTATGTTGGTCTCTGTGGATAGGTCTGTTGCCAGTCTAATGTTTCTACACCTATAGGTTACAGACCTCTTTTCCCCCTGAGCTGCTTTCAGGATTTTCTCTTTGTCTCTGAGATTTGCAAGCTTCACTATTTTATGTTGAAGTGTTGACCTATTTTTATTGATTTTGAGGAGGTTTTTCTGTGTCTCCTGGACTTGAATGCCTGCTTCCTTTCCCAGATCAGGGAAGTTCTCTGCTATAATTTGCTCCAAATACCTTCTGCCCCCCTCTCTCTCTTTCCTCTTCCTCGGGTCACAATTATTCTAATATTGTTTCGCTTTATGGCATCACTTATCTCTCGAGTTCTCTGCTCATGATGTAGTAGTTGTTTCTCTCTTTTTCTCAGCTTCTTTATTCTCCATCATTTGGTCTTTTATATCACTAACTCTCTCTGCCTCCTCTTTTATCCTAGCAGTTAGAGCCTCCATTTTTTATTGTATCTCATAAATAGCCTTTTTGATTTCTACCTGATTAGATTTTAGTTCTTTTATTTCTCCAGAAAGGGATTCTGTTGTGTCCTCTATGCTTTTTTCAAGCCCAGCTATTATCTTTTTAATCATTATCCTGAACTCTAGTTCCAACATCTTACTTATATCCATACTCATTAGATCCCTGGCAGTTAGTACTGCCTCTTGTTCTCTTTCTTGAGGTGAGTTTTTCTGTCTTGTCATTCTTGCAGAAAGTGGTCACCTTTATGTAGAGTTGCAGTTATTCTTTTCTTACATTTCAGGTTGAGTTCGCAGGTGTTCAGAATGATTTGATAGCGACCTAGCTGAATTCCTGGGAGGAGATGAAACTTAGGTCTCCTACTCCTCTGCCATCTTGGACTATCAGTTTTTGTCTTTTTGAAAAGATGTTTATTTTGTCTTCATTTTGAAGGCTATTTTTACCAAATATGGAATTTTAGGTTGACAGGTTTTTCTTTTAACACCCTGAAATAATGACCTGAGCTGAAATCAAGATTTGGACACTTAACCGACTGGGCCACCCAGGTGCCCCAATAACTATTACTCCTAAGGAGAAATTACTTGCCATTCTTATGTATGTACCTCTTTTTGTAATATCCCCTTTCTCCCTGGCTAGTTTTACGGTTTTCTCTTAATTTTTGATTCTCAGAAATTTGACTATACAGTGTAGTTTTCTTTTTATATGTTCTGCTTGGATTTTACTGAGATTCTTGAATATGTAGGTTGATGTCTTTCATCACTTTTGAAAACTCTTGGCTGTTGGGGCACTTGGGTGGCTCGGTTGGTTAAGCGTCTGACTCTTGGTTTTGGCTCAGGTTAAGATCTCTTGGTTGTGAGATTGAGCCCTGTGTTGGGCTCCACTCTGAGCATGGAGCCTGTTTGGGATTCTCTCTCTTCCCTCCCCCTATCCTCCCCCAAACCCCACCACTCACACTCTCTCTCCCTCTCTAAAAATATAAAAAAGAAAGAAGGAAAGAAAGAAAATTCGTGTCTGTTATCTCTTTAGATACTTTGCCTTGTTTTTTTTTTTCTCCTTTTCCTTCAAGGCTCCAATTATATGAATTGGCTATTATCCCAAGATCATATATGTTCTGTTCCTTTTTTAAAAACTATTTCCTTTCCTCTTTATGTTTCAGTTGGATAATTAAAAATTAGGGGGTGAACTCCATGCTAATACCTCTTGTAATAAGGAAAGGCAGTTAATATTTTGTCTGTTCTACTGCTGTCATCTGTGATTTTAGAAAAACAGATTAATTTGTTTACACACCCAGCTCCATTAGTAGTCTATAGTCTCCATGATAGAAGGAAATATTGTTTAAAAACATTGACTGTGGGGCGCCTGGGTGGCTCATTTGTTAAGCGTCTGCCTTCGGCTCAGGTCATGATCCCAGGGTGCTGGGATTGAGCCCCACATCGGGCTCCCTGCTTGGCGGGAAGCCTGTTTCTCCCTCTCCAACTCCCCCTGCTTGTGTTCCTGCTCTTGCTGTCTCTGTCTCTGTCAAATAAATAAATAAAATCTTTAAAAAAAATAAATAAAAACATTGACTGGAACTTAAAAAACCTTAGGTTTCACTGTTATTTAGTGAATTGGATTTCAAAATATTAAAGACCCTTGGTATAAACAATTAATCGAATACGTTCTTTAAATATCCTATTCTAAATTTTAGAAATTTGTATTGCTGTGCAAGTATTTACATATTTTATATTATCATATAAAATATTTGGTTAACTGAATTTTTCATTCATCTGGGTAATAATTTTATTTCCAATTAAATTTTTTTAGAAAGCTTAAAATGATGAATATATTGTTGCTTTTAATATTGATTACAATAAGACTGGGAAGAGTATGTTATATATTATATTATTTTATATTGAAATAATTCATTTTTTCTTACTTTTTCCTAATTTGCTAGAGGAATTCAATGATAGAATTTTACGACCAGAGTTATCAAATGATGAAATGCTTTCTCTTCATGAAGAATTGCAGAAGATTTATAAAACATATTGTTTGGATGAAAGTATAGACAAAATTCGATTTGATCCCTTTATTGTAGAAGAGATTCAAAAAAGTAAGTCAAAGATTTTGATGAGAATATAGCCCTTTTACAAATTTTAACATTTTCAGAATTTTCTCCTATAGTCAGTGTTTATTATTACAACAGCTGTGTGAGGTGCACAGGTAGCCATTTTCCTGTTTAACTAACGAGATGAAAGCTTTGATGAAGAAATTGACTCACAATTCACATAACTAATACTTTCCAGAATTGGAGGTTGGTGGTTCTGATTCCTCATCCTAGTTTGATTTTTATACCTTACAAGTGGCTTTTCTGCGGGCGCCTGGGTGGCTCAGTTGGTTAAGCCACTGCCTTCGGCTCAGGTCATGATCCTGGAGTCCCGGGATTGAGTCCCGCATCAGGCTCCCTTCTCAGCGGGGAGTCTGCTTCTCCCTCTGACCCTCTCCCCTCTCGTGCTCTCTCTCTATCTCATTCTCTCTCTCAAATAAATAAAATCTTTAAAAAAAAAAACAAGTGGCTTTTCTGCAAAACAATGTTTTAGGACTGTTTGTATGCTCTCTCACTGTTATTTTAAACTAATATATAATGTATGGTGTGGTGTTCATAAACAGTTTCTACAATGTAATTTTTTTTAATAGTTGCTGAAGGCCCATATATAGATGTTGTTAAACTTCAGACTATGAGATGTCTTTTTGAAGCATATGAACATGTACTGTCTCTTTTGGAGAATGTGTTTACTCCTATGTTCTGCCACAGTGATGAGGTAAGTCAAAATATTAATCTTATTTAAGGATTTTTCTTCAAAATTTCATAGTGGCTTTGATATCAATAGATGAGTGATTCAAATAACAAAATAAATAGAAATAAAACATGATTAATTTAAAAAGGGAATACTCTTTCACTACAGAAATTAACGGAGATTAGAAATTTACTGTAAAAATTCTCATACCAAAACCATATTTGTATATATCTGATTAGGTAGATTGTGACCAAATTGGTCTACCTGATTTGCCATATGCCTGAGTGGCTTTATAATACAGTGGTGATGCAGAAACTCCATTCTTCTTTTACATACATTATTTACAGACATGTGGAAATCAAATCACCTGAATATCTCCATTTGCAGTATTATAATCCTTACTCTATTTGCCTATGGTTGTTTTCACTTGATTTGAATTTTGTTTTCTTTAAAGTGGAAAGTAGTATGGTAAAATAGCATGTTTTAATATAAAATAGTTTAATCACAATTTTTTTAAAGTATTTCAGGCAACTTCTAAGAGGTGCAGAATCACCAACACGCAATTCAAAATTGAACAGGTAGGTATGGTAAGTCATCTGTATGGTTTGTGTTTGTACTTGCTGATGCTAATTATTCTTGTGATAGTATTGTCTTTATTAGTCAGTTCATTTTTGATTATGTGGTGCCATTGCTACATAAGTAGACATTTTATTAAGTTGTTATAGAGTTGTACTATATATAGTAACCTGAAAATGCCTGAAATTCTTTTAGAAAAACTTAACAAGATACACACCGTTGCCTTCCTAATATCATAATTAATACATATTAGTGCTTGATCACCTGCTTTATTGGATCCTATGGACTACATGCATAAATGAAATCTACAAATAACTCAATTTTAGACAGATTTTTTCCCCCCTGGAGAATACTTTTTATTAGAGTACTTGCTGGTTACAAATGTGGAGAGATTTTTCTCCCTTTCCCTTTTCGCTTTCTGGAAATATATGTGCATAGTTATGTAACTCAGAGAAATAACAGAAAAGAGAGCTTTATCCATTTATAAACTGGATAAGTAATGTCTTGATTTGCCCTTACATTGTTGTATGTACAAAATTGACACAGATGTCAAATCTATCAGTCCACAGAATAGATACTCACATTGCTCTCAACACTTTCCAGTTTGTTTGAGCAAGAATCTAATATATAAATAAGTTGGAGATGTGGTACAAAGACAGAAGTAGGTCAGAAACTGGAGTGTTTTTAGATAGAACAAGGAAAAATGTGAAAACCTTAGCCATGAGGAGGATATATTGTATTTTTTGACATAACCAAGGGATGTAGAAACAGATTTGAATTTTTTGATTGTTGAATTTATATATTACAGTCAAACAAAAATTCTGTCCTTGTTATTTAAAAGAGCATACTTTATCCAATCCAAATACCTCTTCTTTTATTTGAATACTTTTTTAAGACTTTTATCAAATTTTCCAGCATCATTTGAGAAGCAGGTGGAATTTATTTCTGCTTATAGACAGGATGTTTGGAGTGCCATAGTAGAATATTAAGCTTAATCAGTCTCCTGTATAGGACCATTTAGGGGGAAGTGGTTCTTTGATCTTATAAGCCTGCCGAGGAACTAAATCGGGGTCATAACTTCAGAGCTGGAAAGCTTTCTTTGCCACTTTGAGAACACCTGGTTGTCTTCCAACATACTATACTAATTTTGCTCTCTTTAAAATATAAGATAAACAGGAAGAAAATATGGACTCTTTACATTGTGGGTACTGATTGTGGTCTTTAAAAGTATGTTTTTCTTTATATTGACCTGACTTTAATATTAACTATCAGTCTTGTCAGGACTCTGCTTCTGTGATACTTATTCATTTACCTATATAAAATAAGTAAAAGACTTACTTAACGTTCTTTCATTGAAAATTTAGAGTAGCATTGCTAATTTGCTAAGTGACTTAAAATATGTAAAATATTTATTCATATATTTTATGTCTATATTCTGTTTAATTGTATTTTAAAAGTAAAAATTTTAATGCATATTAATATTAACCTGTTCTGTTTCTTCCATACTCGAAGGATAACTTAAAAAATATATTTAGGGACATTCCTTTGTTCACTTTGTTTCTTAGCTTAAAACATATATTTCAAAATGTGTGAAGCATACATAATTATATTTAATACAGACTTGAATTTCATGTTGGAAAACACTGAGTTTGTTTTCTGTGCCAAGTTTTTAGTGGCTTAGTCTCTGCATACTTTCCACCATATCAAACAAATGGTGTGCCTAAATGAGGACAAAAAATACAGTTATTTCCTGACATAGTAGTTTAAGAACTTTTTTTTAATGATCTAGAATTCATACCCCCAATTCCCACCCCCCCCACAGCCATGGTACTTTCTCTTTCCTTTATTATGTTATACATATTCTTTCCCTTTGCAAAGATAAATGCTATCCAGTTGTGTAACTGTTAAAGCTTTTAAATTTTGTTTTGTTTTCTAAAATGAAACTTGTTTAATATCTGGGCTTTCTCTCTTTCCTTTCCTTATAAAATTTCACTTATCTGTTACTGCAGAGGTAGCCTAAGTTTGGATGATTTTCGGTAAGTCTTGAGACAGCATGTGATTTTTTTCTATATAAATTATCTTTTTAAGTTCAGAAAATATGTCCAAAACAACCTAAGTACAACAAAAAGGGAAAAAGGAAATACTGCTATTACTACTGCCTTTATATCAACTATTTGGGATATCCTTTTATTTATTTATTTTTAAAAAATATTTTAAATTCAATTTAGTTAACATATACTGTATTATTAGTTTTAGGGGTAAAATTTAGTGATTCATCAGTTGCGTATAACACCCAGTGCTCATCATGTGCCCTCCTTGATGCCCATCACCCAGTTACCCCATCTGCCCACCCACCTCCCCTCTGGCAACTCTCAGTTTGTTTCCTATAGTTAAGAGTCTCTTATGGTTTGCCTCCCTCTCTGTTTTCATCTTACTGTATTTTCGGGATATCCTTTTTTTTTTTAAGATTTTATTTATTTATTTGAGAGAGGGTAAGAGAGAGAAGGAGCAGAAGCAGGAGAAGGGGCAGGCAGGCTCCCTGTAGAGCAAGGAGCCCAATGCGGGACTCTACCCCAGGACCCTGGGATCATGACCTGAGCCGAAGGCAGAGGCTTAACCCACTGAGCCACCAGGTGTCCCTGGGATATCCTTTTAAAATTAACCTCTAATTTGATTCTAGATATCTCCTTTTTGTTTTCTTTCTTTTTCTTTTTTTAAGATTTTATCTATTTTTTGAGGTAGACTCCATGCCCAGTGTGGAGATTGAACTCACAACCCTATGATCAAGAGTCTCAGGCTGTACCAGCTGAGCCAACCAGGCCCCCCAGGATATCTCCTTTTTGAAATAGCATGATATATGTCATAAAATAAAAATGTCAGTTTAAAATAAAATAAAAAGCTAGTATCCACCTGTTCAAAGCTATTGATTTATTTATTTTTTTGTTATTGTTTTTGCTAAATTACTTAGAATTACTTGTGTTTAAAGAACTTTTTTTTAAAGCAAGAAGTACAGTATTTGTGTATTTCTGGGGATAATCAGAAGTGAGATATTTAAAAAAATGTCAGATTTCAAAAAGCCTAATTTTTTATAATCTATCTAAATCCTAGAGATTTTAGTAATATTTTGTTAACATTTTCATAATTGGTTTTGGAAACACTCTATCAGAATTGTGTTTACAATTCTGGATTAAAAAAAAACAGATTGAATGCTTGTTTAAATAAAATAATCTTCTGGTTTAAGTACCCTTTTTACTACTAACTGCTTATTAGAGTTTTTCCAGTTTTAAAATAAGTTTGATTTGCTCCTTAGACTTGTATAAAATGCACGTCATTAATATACCAGGTATATTTGAAACTTGATCAATTTATTTTTATTTCTGTAATTGTTGCGTTATTTCAGTAAATAAATTTTGCTTTTGGGAATAATAGCTGTCCATTAAGTTAAGCATCCAAAGCCAACTTTTTTGGATTTTAAAATAGTCATTTTTATTTGGGTATCTGTTGTATGGCAGCATTACATAGTGAGCATGAGTTTTAAATTGGGTAAAAGTTCTGCTTTTCTTTGTTGAAACATGGGACAGTAGGCTGTAGTGGAGGAAATTTTTGCTGCTTTTGGGGTTATTTTTTGTTGCTTTCCAGCTATTTCTGCTTTTAGAAATTTACTTTTGAAAAAAATTATAAAACCAGTATTTAATATGTATATCAGACCAGGCTGCTTCCTTAGGCTACATTTGCTTTTGTACTTATGTTTATTGTTAACCATTCCCTTTGGCATTTTATCTTTTTTTTTGTTACTTTGAAGTTAAGTAAGATGCATTTTATACTTCATTCCTCTTTTGAGTATATGTTTATAAAGTTGAAATTTGCTTAAAAATTTTCATTCACAGAGGACATAAGTTTTTTGTTAAGGTCTGTCTAAAAATGAAGGACTGAGAAGGTCATAGCTTTATATTTTTTGTCTGTTACACTATGTTATTTTAGTAGTGCCGTTCTAAATGGATACATTGTTTTGAATGTTGGTCTTACCACATTTTTTATTTCAAAATATGTATGGCAGTAAGAACTGTGTACCACTAGGGGGCTCTCATCTTTTAAACATTTTAGTTCAGTTAATGTTTTAAATAGTAGGTAAATTCCAAACATTTATTAGTAAATATTGTCCCATTTATTCATACCCCCAAATTTAAACTTTAAATGTTTTGTCACTTTTGTCTTCTAAGATGTTGGGACTCAATCTGTGACTAAGAACTCATAAAAGTTATGTTAGCTCTATCTTCAGATTACCCTTTTCACAGCTATTTTTATTGTTTAGAGTAAACTAGACTGTTGTGATAATTCGCTATGTACTTGATACATTTTTGTTTAATATTTAGGAGCACACAGAAAAGAGGAGAATCATTTGGAATCAGCAGAATAGGTAGCAAAATTAAAGGAGTATTTAAAAGTACAACAATGGAAGGAGCTATGTTGCCTAATTATGGGTTAGCTGAAGGTGAAGATGACTTTGTAAGTAAAAATTCTTCAATTTGATATATGTATAAATTCAGACCTGCAGTGGCATAAAAATTGGACATGCTTATTTTGTTTTCTCTCTCCTTTATTTTACTTATATCAGACTTCTTTTCTAGCCCTTATTTTTTCATTAGTTATTATAGTTTCATGGTGCTAATCTAATTTGTAAAGATCCTGTGCACTAAGTTAACTGCTTGTTAAGGCCAGAATAGTTTCTGTTGAGCTGAGGTAGTTCTAATAGTCAAACAATTTACCATCGTGTGGTTAGGCTCTTACTTTGTGTCCTGATCGTCTCTCTTTCCAACCATATGGTCCAGGCAAACAGAATTGTTGATAAATGCCCTTACTCCTTGATACTCAAACTGTGATTGGTACATCAACAGCATCAGTATTACCTGGGAGCTTAGTATAAGTGCAGAATCTCTGGTTCCATCCTAGACCTACTGAATCAATTTGTACTTTAACAAGATTTCTGGTTGATTTATATGCACATTACACCCACCATGCTATTTTATCTCCTTGATCTTTGCACATGCTGTCCTTGGAATACCCTTTATTTACATAGAAAATTCTTATTTATCTTTCAGAATCCAGCTGCTTCCCTTAAACCCTTACCTGGGTCCCCAAGTAGAACTGAACATTCCATCTCCTTTGTGCCCCTTGTTAGAGCATATGTTAAAGCAGGCACCAAAAATTATATTTGAAATGATATGTTTATGATTGTTTTCTCTACCAGTTAGTTCCATAAAGACAGATATTGTCTCATCTGTACTTTTTATTTGTTAAATCCTTATTAAACAGAGTTCTTGGGTCCTTATTTTGCTCTTTAATGACTGAGCAGTGGGGATAAAATGATGATTAAGAGAGACTTTGCCCTTAAGATATTTACTAACCTGGATATCAAAAGGCATGAATAGAAGTGATTGGATTGTCAATGACTAGGAAGAAGGAATGGGGGAGAGAAGAGTTTATAAACCCATTTTTTTTCTCTTACTCCTTCCTTTTGACCTCTGTCCCGTTGCATGATGAATGTTTATTGGTAACCATTCCCTTTGGCATTTTATCTTTTTTTTTTTGTTACTTTGAAGTTAAGTAAGATGCATTTTATACTTCATTCCTCTTTTGAGTATATGATTATAAAGTTGAAATTTGCTTAAAAATTTTCAGTCACAGAGGACAGAAATTTTTTGTTAAGGTCTGTCTAAAAATGAGGGACTGAGAAGGTCATAGTTTTATATTTTTATATATTTATATTTTTATATTATTTTTTAATTTATTATATTTTATATATATTTATATATACTTATAAATGTATATGATTATATATATATTAAGTACATATTAAATATATTACATTTTAAGGAGATTCATTGCTTCATAATTTAAGTGGAAGAAAATCTTAATTCTTTTTTTTTCCTTCTTAGGTAATCCAAATATAACATTCTTTTTTCTGGTTATGCCCTGGTCTTTTCTTAAAAGTGTGGGTAGAAGAAAGACAGTAGACCAGAAGAGGTAGTCTTTTTTCAAAATAATGTTTATGTATTTTTAAAATTTTAAGCATATTATCTCAATTTCTTAATATGGAAAAGTGGCAACAAATTTAAAATACCACCCATAATCCTACCACTCAGTAACAACTTCTGTTAACATTTTGGTGATTAAAAAAAAAAACAAAAAAAAAAAACCTTTCCTTTCTCATCCACATCCCACTTTCTTTCCACTTAATATTACAGTGAAAGCATTTACCCATGTTATTGTGAACTTTCCAAAACATAGTTTTTGTTTGGAAAGACGTACTTTTTATTTTTTGTTCTGCCTGATTACTTGAAATATAAGCTGTTTTTTTTTTTTTTTTTGCTTTTTTTTTGTTTTTGCTTCAGGAATAGAAGGATAGTCTTTAAAAAGGTGAGAGAGTTCTGTTTTATAGTGGCTCAAGGAAAAAGAAAATTCTTGATTTGGAAGCAAAGATAGTGATAAGCAAAAGTATAAGAAGAGCGCAAACTAATCTCTGATACTCTGAAAGAAAAGGTATGGGTGAATAGGTGACCCAGACTAAGATGGCGTCAGTTAGGATTTAGAGGGCACTGTGCTAGTTTTTTTTTTTTTTTTAAGTTTATTTATTTAAGTAATCTTTACCCCCAACGTGGGGCTTGAACTCACGACCCCAAGATCAAGAGTTGCATGTTCTTCCAACTGAGCCAGGCACCCCAGCACGGTGCTAGTTCTAAGCTGTGGGACCTTGAGGAATCTTCTTTGTCTTGTTGAGGACGTTTCGGGGAAAGGGAAATTGCCAGTCTCACTACCAGGGCTAAAGTTGTGTGTGATTCGCATTTGGGACCTAGAAGACATTTTCTTTTAGAAATCTTGATGTGATCATTTGGTGGCAGTGCCTCTTTGCTATGTGACCTTGGATAAATTGCTTAATTTTATTGTGACTTGGTTTCCTCACATGTGAATGGGGATGATAGTATCTTGCTTACATAAGGGTGTTGTGAGGATTGAACAAGTAATATGCACGAAGCACTTAGGACAGTACCTAGCATATGGTAAGGGCAATAAGCATTATACAGTATTATAATAGTATCAGTTCTCTCATAAATGTATGAATGTAAATTATGAATTAGATTGACATATGTATGCTGGCCTGGGAACCAAAGTCCACTGCATAAGATTGAGTCTATTTGAAAATGTTTATCTGTCCCAAGTTCAGAATTGATTTGCAAATAAACTTTTGGAATGTAATATGCCCATTGGTATGTTGGCAGTTATTTCCATATAGGAAAAGATAATAATTAGGAACATTCGTATTTCTTAAGGAAATAGGGGGACATCTTTTTGCCTCTTATCCTCTGCCACCTTTATTCTCCATCCTTTTTGTAGAGGGAAGATCTATATGAAAACAAAAAAGTACTTTGTTTTCCTTTTCATTAAATTTTGGTTTATAATATTTACTTACTTTCAAATAACATTAAAGGAAGCCCTGAAAATTCTTTAGAGAAACACTGCCCTAGAGATTATTCATAAAACTATTTTGATGTAAATACCATTTAAATGGTAACAGTAATATTAATTCATTTTAAAAATTTGTCCTTTGTTTCATGGATATTTTTATGTTGCTAAGAATTTGGTTCTCTCGTTTTGTTTCTTAGATTGATTTTAGGGAACTTTTTATTTAAGAATGTCTATTTTTTTTTTTTAAATAAACTCTACACCCAACATGGGGCTTGAGCTCATAATGTTGAGGTCAAGAGTCATGTGCTTCACTGACTAAGCCAGCTGGGTGCCCCAAGAATGTCTGTTTTTTGGCATTTAGTCAGCTTGTTAAACAAATTATCTGTCATTTTATGATCAATTACCTTTCTGATATCTAAGAAGCTGAATTATTAACAAAAATACAGTTGTAATAGCCATAGAAAATGCTACTCTGTACCTCAGGTTCCAAGTAGTGGAGTGGGCATTTCCCTCACAAATTCTTCCCTCTGTTTTTCTTTCAGGTATATAAGAAGATAGCCTTGTCCCAAAAAAGGCAAAAACCAATACATATCATGTTTTTATAGTTTTTTTTTTCTTTTTAGGACTTGAAGACTTTTTCTTTTTAATAGAGTATTAAGAGGTCCTCCTAAGGTCACTAACAGTCTTATTAGGGATTATGGAAAGCCATTTTAGGACAAGAACAGAAAAGGATAATTGCTAAGGGACTTTGTGAGGGAGGGAAAGAATTCACTTAGAAGAGAGGTGACTGCCAGGTGTGGGAAAAAAGTAAAACTGAGAGTGAAGGTAGGGTGCTAAAATTCTGGAAAGAAATCTCTTTCTACTACCCATTTGCTCTGAATAGACTATTCAGAATTTTCTTAAGTGTGCACAGCCTTTGACTCATTGTCTTAAAGAAGTATGTTCAAGGGGCACCTGGGTGGCTCTGTCGTTAAGTGTCTGCCTTAGGCTCAGGTCATGATCCTAAGGTCCTGGGATTGAGCCCCCCACATCAGGCTCCCTGCTCAGCGAGAGGCCTGCTTCTCCCACTCCCCCTGGTTGTTTTCTCTCTCTCTCTCTCTCTCTCTCTCTGTCAAATAAATAAAAAAAATAAAAAAAAAGTTTGTTAAAAAAAAATAAAAATAAAAAAAAGTGTGTTCAAGATGGATGTATTTTATCTGTAATATTTTGCCTTCTTTAACATGAATTTGAGATGTCTAGGTGATCAGGTGTTAATTCAGAGGTTCTTTTAATTTAATGAAGTAGAGACAGTTTTTCCTTCTTTCTATATGTATATTTCTAGAACATGTTTAAAATTTCTTTTTAAAAACAATTGTTCTTCAAGTAATATTTTAAACTACTATTTTAAACATTTATATTATTAAAATTTTAGAAGCCAAGAAATGAAAAAAGAAACTTAATTCTATGGAGGTGTGTCCCTTTCAGGTCATTTTTCATTTTTTATATTACTTAACTGCAGTGAATATATTTATACTTGTGCCTTTTCCACAGTTTAAAAAAAATTTACTTGGAATAAGTACTTTCATTAGACTACATTCCCAGAAAGGGAATTATAGATCTTCCCTACCTTACAGTGGGGGACATTTTCTTTTAGAAAATTGAAAATGCATTTAACTTTTTATAATTTTTTTTAAATTTTAAAAGATTTTATTTATTTATTTGAGAGAGAGCGAGTGCATGTGCACAAGTAGGGGGTAGAGGCAGAGGGAGAAGCAGATTCCCCGCTGAGCATGGAGTCCAACGTGACGCTAAAAATGCATTTAATACACCTAGCCTACTGGACATCATAGCTTAGCCTAGCCTAGCCTACCTTAAGCAAGCTCAGAATGCTTACATTAGCCTACAGTTGGGCAAAATCCTCTAACACAAGGCCTATTTTATAATAAGGTGTTGAATATCTCATGTAATTTATTGAATACTATATTGAAAGTGAAAAAGAATGGCTTTTTGGGTACAGAATGGTTGTAGGTGTATTGGTTGTTTACCTTCGTGATTGAGTGGCTGCCCAGGAGCTGTTGCTTGCGCCACCACCCAGTATCATAAGAGATTATCACACTGCACACTGTGAGCCTGGGAAAAGATAAAAACTAAAAATTCAAAGTACAGTTTCTACTGAATGCATATCACTTTTGTATCATAGTAAAGTTGAAAAATCATAAGTTGAACTATCATAAGTCAGTAGCCATCTTTGCAGTTAAAACTGTTTTATGACTCTCAATACATATTGTCAGAATGAAAAATATCAGTACATTAATTTTTACTTATTACCATAGTTAAATAATTTTCTGTATTTGTATATTTTCAATATCTTTAATCTCTGAAGTGCCTATTTTCTCTTTTCTATGGAATTTTTATATATAGGTGATGTAATAAATCCTGGAGTTGATGCTAGTAACTTGTTTTTAATTTTTTATCTTTATATATTTAGTAGAAAATTTGGTATCACCTAATTTCAAAAGTTTTGTATTAGAAAATTATGGAATTTATATGGACATATTCTTTTTTTTTTTAAAGATTTTATTTATTTATTTGAGAGAGAGAGAAAGATAGAGAGCACGAGAGGGAAGAGGGTCAGAGGGAGAAGCAGACTCCCTGCCGAGCAGGGAGCCCGATGCGGGACTCAGTCCCGGAGCTCCAGGATCATGACCTGAGCCAGAGGCAGTCGCTTAACCAACTGAGCCACCCAGGCGCCCCTGGACATATTCTTTATAGTTGTACCTTATAGGTCTAAAGGACCTGGAAACACTAAATTTTTCCTGTTGATGTTTTTCCAGATTGAAGAAGGTATTGTTGTAATGGAAGATGATTCTCCAGTGGAAGCTGTGAGCACACCTAATACTCCCCGAAACCTTGCTGCATGGAAAATTAGCATTCCATATGTAGACTTTTTTGAAGATCCTTCCTCTGAAAGGAAAGAGAAAAAGGAGAGAATACCTGTGTTTTGTATTGATGTCGAAAGAAATGATAGAAGAGCAGGTAGGAAGGTTTATGAATACCTTTCTTAAAAGATGCTGATTAGTCTGTATTTATCAGGAATGATAAACATTTTTCCATTTCTAACTTTTGAGTTTGCACATCTGAAAGATAAGTGAACAGAAAGTTGAATGAAAGCTTAGGCTTTTCTAGGTTATCTCTAGTACCATTTAACTAATTTGTTCAACCAATACATATTGAGTAGATGTGTGTGAGACATGTTGACAATGCTCCAAAGCATTTTATGTAATGTTCTTTTAATGGTTTTGTTGCCATCATCATTAGCCATTATACTTAATTGACTGTGAGTAACGCATATAGCAGTGTATCAGGTATTATACCAATTTCATTAAGATAACATTTCTCTTCCATTGTTGTGGGCTAATTAGAATTTATAAAAATATGATAAAACACAATGTGACAAATTTTCCTCTTGTTTTGCTATATTTTTTCTTTTGGTAGTTTCAGATGTGAACTAATAGAGAAGGGGGTAAATAGCATCCATAGCAAGATAACAGTCACCACCCTGGGTTTTGTGCAAGAAGTGGGGCATTCAGTGTGAGCAAAAGCACATCAAAGTTGTGCACATTTTGGGAATGATAAACAGAAAAATGAAGTTGAGCTTGGGTAGAGGGAACTGTCTGTGGTGAAAGAAGGAAAAAAAAGTGGCAGTATTAGGAAATGGTTTTGAACTAATGATACAATGTATGGTGACTAACATAATAAAATTAAATTTAAAAAAAAGGTTTTGAGAGAGGAGTGACTAAATGTTAGCATGAAGGTCAGTGCTAATAATTCCCCTTGTTTTTAAAAAAATAATAGGTTTTTAAAATTTTTCTTAGAAGCTAATCCTATTTCAAGAAATAAAACATAGGAATGGGAAAGGAAGAATGCTCGGAGTAGCTATCTATGATTTTTCCTTTTATAACTAAGTACCAGGCATGGTCTTGCTCTGTCCAGTTCAGAGTCAGTGCCACTTGATTTTGCTGTTGTTGCCGTTTAGTTTTGCCGGTTGCTTTTCTAGCTCAGCATTCTAATAGGTGTAGAGACAAACCATTGGTGATATTGTAGTCTGATTTCAGTTTCAAACATAGTTTGGTATGCATCTTCGTCTGCTGTTTCTACTGATTGGCGTTTTAAGCATTGGAAAGAATTGAAAAGAAATATTGTAGTTAGTTTCTGGATTCAACTACTTCTGTGCTTAGTACTTAAAGTCTGGCTCTTCCCACACTGTTCTTCTTTCTCAGAAAATTATTTTAAACTTCTGACTCTTCAGATATAAATTCCTATCATTATAAGTAAATTTATGTGAACATGTAACTTATGTCCTTTTCAAAGATTTATATATGATACACTTTTAAATTACTATGTTTTTGCCTTTTGGACAGACATTAATTTTTGTGCTTTATTTTTAGAAGTTTGCCTTAATAATTTAACCATAAAATTTAAACCAAAAAATCTTAAAACTAAGGATTATTTTTCTCAACAGTGCTACAGACTTTGTCAATGTAATGTGCTTTTAGGAAGCCATGGCCCATGAGGGGAAAAGAAGTGCATCATTTAAATACTGCATTGATTTTATATGGGTAGCAAAAGAGCAATTTTAGGATTTTAAAAACCAAAACTAAGTATGATATGGATCTTTTAAGACCTGTGTTGAGGAAGAAAAATTTAATTTCCTTTATAGATTGTGACTACATCATGTTTTTTCTTTTTCTTTTTTTTTTTAAAGCTTTTATTTATTTATTTGAGAGAGAGAGAGAGTGAGCACAAGCCGGGGGAGAGGCAGAGGGGGAGAGAAAGGGAGAAGCGGGCTCCTGATGTGGGGCTCGATCCCAGGACCCTGGGATCATGACCTGAGTTGAAGGCAGACGCTTAGCTGACTGAGCCACCCAGGTGCCCCTATCATGTTTTTTTCTAAATACAGGTGTTGTTTTTGGGTTATTGTGTGTGTGGTTTTTTTTTAAAGATTTTATTTATTTGACAGAGAGAGGCACAGTGAGAGAGGGAACACAAGCAGGGGGAGTGGGAGAGGGAGAAGCAGGCCTCCCGCTGAGCAGGGAGCCCGATGCGGGGCTCGATTCCAGGACCCTGGGATCATGACCTGAGCTGAAGGTAGATGCTCAACAGGCTGAGCCACCCAGGTGCCCCTGGGTTATTGTGGTTTTAGTTGACTTTGTTCATTGCATTTCCAAATCTATGCGAGAATGAAATGAGGTGCTAATAATAGCAGTTAACATTTTTGGGGTGCTCACTCTGTGCTGTACACTCTACAGAAGTGATTTAAGTGGATTATTTTATGTTATGGGTACAGTTATTTTTATTCTAAGCAACTTAAGGCACAGTGAGGTTATTTGCTCACGTTCACTTAGTAAATGGGGGAACTGGGATTGGAATAGGCAGTCTGACCCAAGTCATTCTGTAAACCATTACTTTGTACTATTCAATTTGGTGGCCACATGTATCAATGAAAATTAAATTATATTAAAATTTTAGTTCCTTACTTACAATAGCCACATTTCAAATGATCAGTAACTACATGTGGTTAATAGCTTCTCTATTAATGCAGATAATATAAAACATTTTCAGAATTGCAGAAAGTTCTGTTGGATAGTGCTGTCTGTATTGTTTTAGATCAGGACAATTGGTAAATATTTGAGAGACCTAAAATTGATTATAAGTTTTATGAAATACATTATTTCTGTGACATTTTAAAAATAACTGCATTATTTTTTGAAATTTGTCAGCTCTGTGATTCTGTTGTAGAAAAATTATTTATTAGATAACTTCATAAATAGGTAAAATTTATCCATCTCTTAAGGAATTTAAAATTAAAATGTGGGATAAAATATGTTAATAGTGATGTTAAGAAATGATTATTAAGACTGGAATAATTTCTTATAGTAGTTTATAAAATTATTTATTACTTATTGTGTATTCATTCAATTTACAGTTGGGCATGAGCCTGAACATTGGTCTGTCTATAGAAGATATCTAGAATTCTATGTACTTGAATCAAAACTAACAGAATTTCATGGTATGTTGTTTTTGTGTAAAATGTTCCATTTTCGCATTAGCTTTCTTGAAGAAGCTATTGAACTAGATTAATTTTTTGATTTTAAGTAATTATACCAAGAAAATGTGACAGTAACACTTGTGCACACTGCTGTTCATAATAGGAATGAACTTTTTATCTTATTTCTGGCTTATATATATATTTTTATTTATGTTATGGTAATCACCATACATTACATCATTAGTTTTTGATGTAGTGTTCCATGATTCATTGTTTGCATATAACACCCAGTGCTCCATTCAATACGTGCCCTCTTTAATACCCATCACCAGGCTAACCCATCCCCCCACCCCCTCCCCTCTAGAACCCTCAGTTTGTTTCTCAGAGTCCATAGTCTCTCATGGTTTGTCTCCCCCTCCGATTTCCCCCCCTGCATTTTTCCCTTCCTGCTATCTTCCTTTTTTTTTTTTTTTAACATATAATGTATTATTTGTTTCAGAGGTACAGGTCTGTGATTCAACAGTCTTACACAATTCACATAGCACATACCCTCCCCAATGTCTGTCACCCAGCCACCCATCCCTCTCACCCCCCACCACTTCTGGCTTATATTTTTAGTTTTTACAGTGCACATTTATTGCTTTTTAAAATAATAATGTTAAAAATTAAAAGATAGCTATTCTTTAACTGTATTTTAGAAAAGATTCTCTTTCCAGTTGAATTTTTGTTTATCTCGATGTGGCAGAGAATTTAAAACAGGCATTTCAGAGTTGCTCTGTTCTTTTGCCATCTTTCTAGATAAACATGTTTGCTCTGCATCATGGCAATGTTTTGATTTAGCTCTTAGATATGGAAACAAAACTTGTAGTATAATATTTCTTTTAAGGATAGATTAGTCAGAAAAGGGAAACACTTCCTTTTTAGTTCTTCCCCTCACCTTTCAGTCTCTTTTATCATCCATTTATTTTAGTTAATGTCAGGGATGTAGTTATGAAGTATTTACAGTCATTTTGTATGTAGATTCGTGAGTTTGATTTGTGTATTCTGAATCTTTTTATTTTATTTATTTATTTATTCATTTATTTATGAGAGAGTGCAAGCAGGCACGTAGGTGGGGTGAAAGGGGCAGAAGGGGAGAGAGAGAATCTTCAGCAGGCTCCATGCCCAGCATGGAACCCGACGTGGTGCTCGATCTCACAACCCTGAGATCATGACCTGAGCCAAAGTCAAGAGTCAGACACTTAGCCGACTGAGGCACCCAGGTGCCCATGAATCTTTATTTTAGAGAAGCTTTGTGGAGTGTCCCTGATCCAAATTCAGGTTGGTTCTGAATTGAGAAGGACAGGAACCTTTTTTACCCTTCTTTACTAAGAGCAAAGCCCATGATAAGGAGATTATAGGATGATAAAAAATACAAGGTCCCACTCCAAACTCTTTGCTTAGATTTTGAATTTGTACTTGTCTTTAAATGGTTTTCTCTTTGGGATGCCTGGGTGGCTCAGTCAGTTAAGCCTCTGCCTTTGGCTTAGGTCATGATCCCAGGGTCCTGGGATCAAGTCCTGCATCAGACTCCTTGCTCAGTAGGGAGCCTGCTTCTCCCTCTGCCTGCCGCTTATGCGCTCTCTCCCTGCTTGTGCGTGCTCTCGCTCTTTCACACAAGTAAATGAATAAAATCTAAAAAAGAAAATGGTTTTCTCTTTGTCTCTGCCAATCTTGTGCAGTACCATCCTTGTCTCCTTTCTCTGAGAACTTTTCCTTTGGATTTGGGGTTGAGAGAAGACATATAATCCATACTTTAAAGCCCTGGATCAACCTAAGTTGGTTGTATTCCCAACAATATTTTCCTTTTTGGTATTTAAATTTCTAAAGTCAGCCCTGTTTGAGAAAGCATGTCCATAGTTTGTTTTTTAAAGATTTATTTATTTATTTGAAAGGGAATGGAGGGGGAGTGGGGGAGGGGCAGAGGGAGAGAGAGAATCTTAAGCAGGCTCCATGTCCAATATGGAGCCCGATGCTGGGCTTGATCTCACCACCCTGAGATCATGACCTGAGCCAAAACCAAGAGTTGGATGCTCAACCGACTGAGCCACTCAGGTACCCCATGTCCATGGTTTTTAAATTTTGTTTTTAATCTTGTATAGTATTGGCAACATGCTACCTTTTTTCCCCATGAGAGAGTAGGTATTTTTCTTTTTTTTTTTTTTTAAATTTTTTAAGATTATTTATTTATTTGACAGAGAGAGAGAGAGAGAGAGAGAGAGAGAGAGAGTGAGAGCAGGAACACAAGCAGGGGGAGTGGGAGAGGGAGAAGCAGGCTTCCCGCCGAGCAGGGAGCCCGATGCGGGACTCGATCCCAGGACCCTGGGATCATGACCTGAGCCGAAGGCAGACGCCTAACGACTGAGCCACCCAGGCGCCCCTAGGTATTTTTCTTTGTAAGATTTTGTCTGAGAGAATCCCACAAACTTCAAAATAATCTCATAGTATTTTTCTGAGGCTTTTTTACTAGTATAGAAGGCTTAAATAAATCTGTGTCAACAAAGAGTTGGTGATCATTTTGGTTATCAGTAGACTCAGGTTCTTTGGTCTGGACTTCTGACTTGAAGCTTATGGATTTTGTCAAGATTATTTATGTATGTATGTAATTAATCTTTTTAAAAAAGATTTTATTTATTTACCTGACAGGGCACAAGCAGGGGGAGCAGCAGAGGGAGAGGGAGAAACAGGCTCCCCACTGAGCAGGGAGCCCGATGCAGGGCTCGATCCCAGGACCCCGGGATCATGACCTGAGCTGAAGGCAAATGCTTAACTGACTGAGCCACTCAGGTGCCCCTTGTCCAGATTATTGAAAAGATAATGCTGCATCTCTATAAGGGAGCACTGTGAATCTGAATTTGCCATAGTAAATTATAAATTAGGTTTTTAAAATAGTAGCAGAACATACTAATTACTTTCATGTATATTAATTTCAGGCACATTTCCTGATGCCCAGCTTCCTTCCAAGAGGATCATTGGCCCCAAAAATTATGAATTCTTAAAGTCAAAGAGAGAAGAGTTTCAGGAATATTTACAGGTACAGTACCAACTCAATTTAAAACGTTGCTAATCATAGCATTGTCTAATTGGTCTTTTTTTTCCTCTTGTGTATATATATTTTGTTTTACAGATACCTGTCAGTGTGAATTTCTAAAATTCTTTTAAGATACTTTTTCCATGTGAAAATGAATTATTGTGAAAAGTGTACTTTTTAGGGGCTCCTGGGTGGCTTAGTTGGTTAAGCATCCGACTCTTGATTTCAGCTCGGGTCATGATCTCAGGGTCATGAGAATGGAGCCCTGTGTTGGGCTCTACAGACTCAGCATGGAACCTGCTTAAGATTCTCTCTCCCTCTCCCCCTTCCTTCCACTCATGCACTGTCTTTCTCAAAAAAAAAGTATACTTTTTAAAAAAGCTCATAACCAATGAAATAGCAGATATTTTCTTAGAAGAAGAAAAATTGTATGTTGAGTTTAGTTTAAAACTTTTGGTGTGAGAAGATAAAGAAAAACTTGTTAAAGATGAAATGCATTCTAAGTATACTGGGTAGTTTTTTTTGTTGTTCTTGTCTTTTTTTATTTAAAGATTTTTTATTTTTAATTTTATTTATTTGACGTAGAGACAGAGAAAGAGGGAACACAAGCAGGGGGAGTAGGAGAGAGAGAAGCAGGCTTCTGGCTGAGCAGGGAGCCCGATGCGGGGCTCGATCCCAGGAACCTGGGATCGTGATCTGAGCTGAAGGCAGACGCTCAACCGTCTGAGCCACCCAGGTGTCCCTCTTGTCTTTTTTTAAAAAAATTTATTATTTTTTTAAAGTAATCTCTACCCACAACGTGGGTCTTGAACTCAAAACCCCAAGATCAAGAGAAGCGTACTCTACTGACTAAACCAGCCAGGTACCCTTTTTGTCTTGTTTTCTGTTTGATTTTGTGTTTAGCACTTCTGAACTTGTGAATCTTCCCTCCCGTTTTATTCCTCAGTTTTTTTCTTTTGCAATTTGTAGATGTTTTTCCAGTTTCTTGGGATCTCCTGATTCTCTACTAGTCACCACTTGGAAGTGAATTTTATTTTTTTTTCAGTGTGTGCACAGTGTTATGTAAACAATGTAATTGGTATGTTATTTCCATTGTTAGTACAGTTAGCCGAAATCAAGAGTCGGATGCTTAACTAAAATTGATTTAGACTTCTCTAAAATTAATGACCATCTTTCTTTAATAAAGTGCATAAGACCAAAAAGTGGATAGGTTTTTTTTTATTGTTGTTGTTAAAAAAAAATCTTTATTTGGGCATGGAATTTTGTAGATTTTATTAAGTAAGTGTTAATTCAGTTAAATTTGGATGCCTCCTTGCCCACAATAAGTACTTTTTAAATTAAAAATATTCATCAGTGTAAAGGGATATTTATATTTTATATCTTGTATTTGAACGGTTGAATACTTCAACCCAGAAAATACTTATTATATAATTTTTTTGGTAGTGTGAAAATTGAAATAACTATCAACTACTGCAAGGATATTTGAATGTAGTATATAGTAGTGTTAGCCTTTGCCTTTGTTTGTACCATTAAACCATTATTTGAATGAACTAAATCTTTCTAAGAACTAGAGCACCACATTCTAGAAGAGTATTTTCTGGTGATAGGGAGGTAAAGATTTCATTTCACTGGTATTTCATTTATACAGATTTCTGCTCATAAAGTTTTGTAACTGTTTCAAGTTACAAAACAATATTAGGTAAGACTGGGTTAATTTTGGCTTTAAAAAGTCAGTTTACTTGTAAGAAAATAGTGTTGCAAGAACAGACAACAGATTTTCCAAGTTATTTCACATTTTCACATTTAGTTTTCTGCAAAACCCTTTGTACCAACTTCTTTTAATTATCAAGAAAGTTAATATGATATTGTAGTACTTGTTTAATTGTTGAGAAACAGAGACGATATTAGCTAGTGTTTAATCTTCCTTCCTGTGTATCAGGTACTGTACTAAATGCTTTATATAACAATGCTGTGAAGTAAGTAGTATTATCTTCATCTTACATTTGAGGAAACTCTTATGTAATTTAGGAATTTAGTTTCTAGGGACACCTCACTGGTAAGTAGAAGAGCCGGAATTCAAACCCTTCCATGTCTGTCTATAGAGGCTAAGGTCTTAGCTGCTGTGCGATACTGTTCTTTCTACAAATGTAGTTTTGTTATTCTGAATATAAAATAGCTTTTGAGGGTTAAAAAAATTTTCATTGATGTTCTTACCATTTTAGTATAGTTTTGATGACCCTTTTAAGCTACCCCCCCTTTTTTTTCTTTTTTCATTCAAGAAACTTCTGCAGCATCCAGAACTGAGTAATAGTCAACTTCTGGCAGATTTTCTCTCCCCCAATGGTGGAGAAACACAGTTTCTTGATAAGATACTACCAGATGTAAATCTTGGTAAGTCAATTTAAAGAATCATGTATATGAGGATAAACTGAAAATAATCAGCATTTTCAGATTAATTTAGAGGAATAGTTTATATAGTGAAGCCACGAGTCAAATTCTAACAGACTTCTTATATGCTGTTAGAGGAATATAAATTGGAAACTACTTGGAAAAACAGTTTGGTATGAAACTGAATGACTCAGCAGTCCCTCTCTGAAATATATACTCTAGAGAATCTTTTATTCATATTGAAGAATGTTCATAGCATCATTGTTTTTATAGCCAAAACTGGAAATAATACAAATGTCATTACCAATAGATTGACAGATAAATTGTGGTAGATTCATAAAATGAATACCTATAGCATGTAGCTATTTGCAACAACATTGATAATCTTAAAAGCGTGATGTTGAATGAAAGAAGCAAGACACAGAAGAATATATACAGCATGATTTCTTTTATATAAAGTTCAGTATAGACCACAGTAATATAAGCAGGCAAGGTTTGAATAAAATTGTTAAAGATAATAATGGAAGTAAAACAATATTTCTAAATATATTTTATATAATCTTAAGTACATATAGAACTAAACAAATGAATTAAATATTACAAATAGGCATTTGGCTATTATTTGTATCTCTTCAAATTAATACATTTAGTTGAGCCAAAATACTTGATGTTTGTGCATGGAGGTTTTCTTATTAGGGGAAAATGTGAGGACATTATATACTTGGTTATATATGATGTCTAGGAGACAGAATTGGGTAGACCTGGTTGCTGACTAGGTTTGACTGAAGGAGAAGAAATGGTCAAAGATGACCCAGGTTTCTGTTTAAACAATTGGTGGGATGCTGTTACTTGCTGAGATGATGAATAAATTAATAGCAGTTCTGAACTTGTTGGGTTTATAGAATCCAGTTAAAGAAGCTTTGTAAGGCAGGAGAGGCCAGGAGGTAGGCAAGGAGTAGAGATGTAAGTGTTGTTTGAAATCAGATTGAACAAATAAATTGTCTCAAGAAGAGCATGTAGAAGAGACGGAAAAGAACAGGATGAAGCTCTGTAGTTTAAGGAACTTGGGCAATCCTTTTTTTTTTTTTAAGATTTATTTGAGAGAGCGAGCGAGCAGAGGGAGGGGGAGAGAAAGAATCCTTAAGCAGGCTCCTGCTGAGTGTGGAGCTTGATGGAGGGCTCGATCCCAGGACCCTAAGATCATGACCTGAGCCAAAATCAAGAGTCAGATGCTTAACTGACTGAGCCACCCAGGTGCCCCAGGCACTTGGGGAATTCTAAGGAGGGAGGCATAGCTTATGGGGGTAGCAAAGGAGAAATAGTCTGATAGGAGAGCGTTGGGTGGTTTTCATGTTGTAAAACAATCTCCCATTTTAATTTGTTATTATGTCTCTTGCTTTACTGTAAGTCTACTTTTTTCTAAATTGAACTGCAAGAAATTTTAGGTTGCATTTATCAATTTTGACTAATTTTTATAGGCATTTCTAATGTTTGAGAAAATCTCAAGATGCTTGTTGGTATTTTAAAATAAGGGAACCTAGAGATGAGATCAAGAAGAAATTTTGGCAAACAGGATTAGAATATGTATTCTTAATCTAAAACTCAGAATATAAGCTATTTAAATAGTGTGTGTGTATGTTTTTTTTTTTTTTTGTAAATTTTAGAGTGAGAGAGCGTGTGAGTGGAGGGGAGGGAGAGGGGGAGAGAGAGAGAGAGAGAGAATCTTAAGTGGGCTCCACTCTGAGTATGGAGCCTGACATAGGGCTCAGTCTCATGACCCTGAGATCATGACCTGAGCCAAAATCAAGAGTTGGACACTTGACCGACTGAACCACCCAGGTGCCCCTAAATAGCCAATTTAAATGTTGTAGCAGTTCTTAAAACTTTTTTGACTGACTTTTACATGCTTTTAGATATCTTTATATATTCATTATTTAAAATCTTTTGAAAACATTTCTTATGGGCAATTTCAAATATACACAAAAGTAGAGAATTTTGCATAATAAACCTCTCACTCTATTTCAGCAGTTACCAACACTTGGCTTGTTCAGTCCCTTACCCACCCTCCCCAATCCCACTGTATTATTTTAAGTAAATCCTAAATGTTATATCTATAGTTAAGAATACCATATTTATTGTAAATTTCTATTGAATGTGAAATGGCAAAGTATAAATTTTTTACTGTTTTACTTTTTACTTGGCTGTTTAGTATTTAAAATTACCTAGTGAAGGGGTACCTGGGTGGCTCAGTTGGTTAAGCATCTGCCTTCGGCTCAGGTGTGATCCCAGGGTCCTGGGATCGAGCCCCATCTTCGGGCTCCCTGCTCAGCAGGGAGTCTGCTTCTCCCTCTCCCTCTACCTGCCGCTCTCCCTGCTTGTGCTCTCTCTCTCTCTCTGTCAAATAAATAAAATCTAAAAAAAAAATAAAATTACCAAGTGAAGTATACATGTAAGCAATTATGAGATATATTATGCCTTCATAAAATTAATATTTTACTTTTAATTGCAGGGAAAATTATAAAGTCTGTTCCTGGAAAACTAATGAAAGAGGTGAATAAGTGATTTATGTATATTCTGTAACATGATAGTTGTAAGCATATTTAAATATCAGTGAATTTTAATGGGTTATATGATTATTAAAAATCATAATCTTGATTTTTGATTTTCATACCATGATTTCTGTGTTACAACAGAAAGGTCAGCATTTGGAACCTTTCATCATGAATTTCATTAATTCTTGTGAATCTCCAAAGCCTAAACCAAGTAAACCGGAACTGACCATTCTCAGCCCTACTTCAGAAAACAACAAGAAGGTACTGCGTATTGCCTTAGAGTCATAAAGTTTGAAGTTGTCCTACTTGAGACTTTTCCATTATAGGGAGCATCATGTGTTAATGAAATGAATAGGACTTATATCCTTTATGTGGAAATCAGTTGTACAGTATAAGGAGGGTATTTTATGTAGTTTCTTGCCTCTTTACATTAACAGGTAAATGTTTCTTTAGATAATTGTATTTGTAAACTTCTGCCATTTCTGTATTTGGGGGATTTTTTTTTAAGGTGGTTTTCTTAGGTAGTAAATCACCAACTTCCAATTGATTTGATGTTTGTTTTGTCTCATTTCAATGGCTTATATAATATTTAATCCATTCATTAAGCAGGTATATTATCCTGTGCCTACTGTTGAGAGTGCCAGGCTCTGGAATATAAAGATATATTTCCAGTTCGCAGGAAGCTCACTTTAGGGATTCCTGGGTGGTTCAGTCGGTTAAGCGTCTGCCTTCGGCTCAGGTCATGATCCCAGGGTCCTGGAATCAACTCCTGCATCGGGCTCCTTGCTCAGCGGGCAGCCTGCTTCTCCCTCTGCTTGCTGCTTCCCCCTGCTTGTGCTCTCTCTGGCACACTCTCTCTCTGACAAATAAATCAATGAAATCTTTAAAAGAAAAAAAAAAAAAGGAAGCTCACTTTAGTTCCAGAATAGTGCTCAGCATGGGGAGCAATGTGAGCTCAAAGGATAGCCCTCCCCCGCCTCCCAAAAACTTCACTTTTTTGTTATTAGTATAAAAGGTATCTTTTATATTTTTTCACTTTAATTTTTGTGTGTTGATTTTATAAATTCAATAACCTTGCTAGACTTGTCTTAATTTTAGTAATATATCTATTAATTCTTTTAGATTTACATACTTATATGCAAATGATGGCTTTGTTTCATTCATGGCTATGAACTATTGTACAAAGGGCATGATTTTGATGTTTCACCATTAAATCATGTAGTGTAGCTTTTTTCATAGATATTGTTTATAAATAAGGTTAAGGAAGTTTGTATTCATGTTTATAGGTGGACTTGGCCTATAATTTTTCTTTCTCGTTCTATCCTTGTCACGTTCTGGTATCAGAGTTATATTAACCTTTTTCTATTTGCTGGTAAAGTTATAATTGGAATTCTAGTTCTTTAAATAATTGGTAGAACTGGTTGTTAAAGTCACCTAAGCCTTGAGTTTTGTTGGTAGGAAGGTTTTTTTAAAAAACAACTTAATTTAATGATTATATAGTATTACTCAGATTTGTTGCATGAGTCTGTTTTTTTTCAAAGATTTTATTTATTCACAGAGAGAGAGAGTGTGCGTGAGCTGGGGGAGGAGCAGAGGGAGAGGCACAAGCAGACTGAGCTGAGTGTGGAGCCTGATGAAGGGCTTAATCCCATGACCCCAAGATCATGACCTGAGCTGAAACCAAGAGTCAGATGCCCAATCAACTGAGCCACCCAGGTGCCCCAACATGAGTCAGTTTTGATAGGTTTTATATATATATATATATATATATATTTTAAGGGGGGGAGGGGCAGAAGGAGAGGGAAAGAGAGAATCTTAAGCAGCTTCTACACCCAGTGTGGAGCCAAATCCAGGGCTCCATCTTACAACCCTGAGATCATGACCTGAGCCAAAATCAAGAGTCAGATGCTTAACCAGCTGAGGCACTTAGGCAACCCGATAAGTTATATTTTTCGACACATTTGTATTCTATCTAAATTTGAAATCTTTTTGGCCTAAAGTTGTTGTTTTTTCTGACATCTGTAGCTATGTCCCTTTTTATTTTTAACATTATTTGTGTCTTTCTCTTTTTTTTTTTCTTTTGATCAATCTTGCCAAAGATTTTGTCCTTTTCATCTTTTGGCTTTGTTGATCTTTACTGTCAGAGTTTTAGTTCCTTGATTTCTGCTATTTTATTATTATTACCAACAATAGACTTTTTTGCATATCCTGGGGGTAGGTAGGACTGAGGTTTAGTTGCACTTCATAATTTTTTACTATAAGTAATTTTCTGTATCTTGTTTTTTTCACACTGATTAGGCATTTCTGGTCTGTGACTGTTATTGTCCAAATAAATTTTGGTTAAAGCTCAATGTTCACATCTAAACACCCTTTAATTGTGAATTATAATCTGTAAGTCATGTTAGTTTTTAAATTAGCTATCATTAATATATATACATCTTTACATGTTTATTTGCTCCTTTTGGTATTAAAAAAACAAAGGTTTCTTCATGAATAACGAATTTTCTTTTGTGTCTAAAATTAATGCAGACTTTTGTGTACTATTTTGGGAGGAATATGTATTTTTTATTCAAGTTTGGGCATAAATACGAAACTTCAGAGGCAGAGCTTAACCTATCTGATAATTCTGTTTTGATTGGAAAAGTTTAAGTGCCTGTGCTCTGTGTAGACACTTTAGCTTTAGTGATTGTTATCAGGGGTAATAAACTACATATCTCTTTATTATTTCAATTTTTACTTTAGCTTTTCAGTGATCTGTTTAAGAATAATGCAAACCGTGCTGAGAATACAGAAAGAAAGCAAAATCAGAATTATTTTATGGAGATGATGACTGTAGAAGGAGTCTATGATTACCTGATGTATGTAGGTAGGTAAGGTCTGTGAGGTTACTGTGAAAACCTATTTTTCATTCATGTATCATTTCTTCTGTGATGCAAATTAATGCTCTTCACTATTGCCCCATTGTAACTTCTTTTTAAATTGAAGATAATTCTTTTATAAGAATTTGATATAATTGGTTTCGAACATATTAAAGTTCTTAGTGTTTACAAATAAGATATTGACCATTTGTGTTTTTTTTATACTGGAAAATGTTTGAAATAGCTGTTTATCTTAACAAAATATTCCATATGATCCTTCTCAGGACGGGTGGTTTTCCAAGTTCCTGACTGGCTTCATCATCTCTTAATGGGAACTCGAATCCTGTTTAAAAACACCCTGGAAATGTATACTGACTACTATCTTCATTGTAAACTGGAACAGCTGTTTCAGGAGCACCGTTTGGTCTCACTCATAACACTTCTCAGAGGTTTGTATTTTGTCATGTGTTTGTTTCATGTTTTATGTACTTTTGTGTCCTGTTTTTCATTGGTTTATTAGTATTTCTGCAATGAAAAAGTACTTTGTGTATAATAGGTAAAAATTCCAGCAACTACTTCTTTTTGTGTCTTTTTAGATGCTGTGTTCTGTGAAAACACTGAACCTCGCTCTCTCCAAGATAAGCAAAAACGAGCAAAACAGACTTTTGAAGAAATGATGAATTATATTCCAGGTATAATATTTAAGTAGTTTAATATAGATTAGCATTTCTTTGAGATCACAATGTATAGTAATTTTTTTAAAGATTTTATTTATTTGGAGAGAGAGAGCAAGCACGTAAGTGGGGGGGAGGGGCAGAGGAAGAGGGAGAGAGAGAATCTTAAGCAAACTCTGCACCGAGTGCCGAGCCTGATACGGGGCTCAATCCCACAACCCCCAGATCATGATCTGAGCTGAAATCGGGAGTTAGATGCCTAACCAGCTGAACCACCTAGGCACCCCTCACGATATAGTAATTATTGAAACTAATTTTTATTTTGAGTTATCATTTTAGAAATAGTATAAAGACCAACTAAAATTAACTCATTAGTTAAATAAAATTTGGTTTTTATGATATAAGCACTATGAACTTTAATACAGGCTTTTTCTACTTATGCAGTAGCCAGATTCTTTCAATAGCAACTTATAATCAGACTGATCAAAGTGATATGTTTGTGGGACAATTGGAATCCTGCTGCCCGTTATACTATGAGAAGAACTACAGTAGTGTTTATGAGTAAAAGATCAGAATTAATTCATTCTAAATTTACTGAGCACTTTCCACATGTCAGGCACTATGCAGAGAGCAAGGGATATAAAAAGTATACTTGAGTAATTCGGTCTAGCAGGAAGACAGGTATACATACAAAACATACATGTGATAGGCATGTTCAACTCACAGAGTATCTCAGAGGAGGAGAATGATCACTTCTTCTGTAAAGGAGGTAGCCTTGAGCCATAAGGTAAATGAATGGTAGTAACCTTTTATAGAGTGAGAAATAAAAGGAAAAAATGTTAAGGGGTCAAAACAGAGGATACTTAGTTTAGAATATTTTGAGTTGAAGTGCCTATACATTATTCAGGAGGAAATGTCTAATAAGTAGTTAGATATTCAGGTTTTGAAATTGGAGAAATGAATGGTAAAGGATGGAGATATGGGAGTTATGTGTAGTGGATAATAATGCCCAGAGAGAAAATATAGAATAAGAACTGAAGAGGCCTTTGGACTGAATCTTAGAGAATTCTCATCATTGAATAACTAGTCTCAGAATAGTCCTGCTGCTCTGTGTGAAGACAATTAAGTTAAATCCCTGGCCTGAATATAAAAGTGAATAAAAGTATTTGGGGCTAAGTCTTCTGTAGGTAAATGATGAAGTAATTTCTTACCTGTTTGTAATAGCAGTCCTTAGTGTTCATGGCTTTAACAGTCTTAGTTTTGATATTAGAGACAACATGGAAAGCCAGTGAATGTAGTAATTTGTTATTTTGCTAAGGCACAAATTTGAATCACATCTACTTCAAAACTTCTCTTTGGGGAGGAGTAATTTAGTGAGTAAACTAAGCATGTCTTTTTGTTGTCCTCTACCCTTCATTTCTCAGGAACTCATGAAGGATCTGAAAGGATCACTTATTTTTGTCCATTATGCATCATGCATCTTAATTGGAAAATTCTATGTAGTATTGGTGAATTAGGGGATTCATAAAGATCCATATTGGGCCACATATCTTGAAAATATCAAGGATCTACTATGCTTATTATAAATTGAATTTGGCCTTTGCCTTGTAGGGTTAGATTTATCTCCTAGAAGCAAACATAAGGGGAGAACTTTTCAAGGACATCATTAAGAGTTTTATTATGATGGGGGGGAGGACAAATATTTGAGCACTTTGTTTACTTAAGAATAATTTTATTTTCCTGTTTTGGGGAAAACGTTCAGAGATTTTTTAGATTTTGGACCAACTCTTTGGTAATAGAAGTGAAAAATGACAGCTGTGCAAACATGTATCAGAACTTTTTGGATCCTAAATTAGTGTTTAAACATTTCCCAAAAAGACTGTTCTGTAAGATGGTTAGTAATAATTATGAAAAAAGTACAAAAGTAAATTAAAGAGGTTATATTCATTGAGGAAAGTCTATGTTAAAAAATTAAACTTTTTTTCCTGATATTAAGATATTCAAACATTGTGAAAATATATAGAGTAAAAAGTAGAAGCCATCTTCTCCCTAATCAGTTTGGTGTTAATCCTCACATTTTTTCTGTCCATTTCTATACATGTGTGTACAAATGTATACACATAATTTTAGGATTTGATTTTATTTGTTTTACCTGAATGGGATAACACAATATGTGTTATTTTCCAACTGTCTTTTATCACTTAATAATATAAGTAGATTTCTTTACTGCAGCATTCTTCAGAGCTTGTAGTATACTTCTATGCAGTGTGAATCTCCAAAAGGAGGAGTTTCTTGACTATAGAAGCCTTTTTTCCAGGAGCCCCTTGCAGAACACTGGTTTAGGAAATGCGGATTTATAGTTTTTGTGTAATACCTGGGAAGCAGGGTGAAGATTTTGCTTCATGGTCCAGTTAATGATGAGTCACTTTATAATATGAAGTGTTTTCACCTTTGGCTTTCTCTTTTAGATCTGATAGTCAAGTGTATTGGTGAAGAAGCCAAGTATGAAAGCATCAGACTTCTGTTTGATGGCTTACAACAGCCAGTTCTCAATAAGCAGGTAAAATTCATTAAAGCAGGTTAACTAGTGTTGGCTAGGTTTTGTGAACGACACATAGTAGGGTGTCTGGTATATTATTACTTGTGAAGTGACACTATGTTAAATCAAGGCAGTGCACATCAGACGTTCAGGTAGGAAAAAAAAGAAAAAGTATTTTATCTGTTATTCTTTTTTGCTGATTATTTTTAAATTAAATTTTCTATTTTAATTTCAGTATAGTTGACATACAGTGTTGTATTAGTTTCAAGTGTACATTGTAGTGGTTCAACAATTTTATACATTACTCGGTACTCCTCATAATAAGTGCCCTCCTTAATCCCCATCACCTCCCCTCTGGTAACCATCAGTTTGTTGTCTCTAGTTAAGAGTTATTTTTTTTTTCTTTATAACATGAGTTGTTTTGACTTAAACAGATTCATTGTAGAAAATTTGGAACATATACAAAATTCATGAAATAAATATTTAAAAATTAAGAATTCCATCATTCAGATTACATAGAATAACCACAGTTAACATTATGTATGTAGTTCAGTCTGCACATATTTTGTTGAGATCTTAATATAACTAAAATTTTGTGTCCTTATTGTGTCTTTAACATTTATGAAGCATAATAACAAGCTGTACACATGCCTTCTCATTTAGAGGTAACTGCAGTCCTGATTTTTGTTTTTATTATTTTTATGGCTTTTGTCTAATGCCTTAAAAAAAATTTTTTTTTTGGTGCTTTAGCTGACTTATGTTTTATTGGACATTGTGATACAAGAACTATTTCCAGAGCTCAATAAGGTAACTGAGAAGCAACAGTTTTATTCTTTATGTTTTTGATGGTATGCTGACATCTGTTTTAATTAGGGACACAAAAATTAAGGAAACCCTTGGGGCTATGATCCTTTTAAAAATGAACAACCTTAATAAATGACTCTATATTTTCTTTTTTCAACATGCTTAAACATAGGATCTTTTTGGGGGGGGCAGGAAAGGAATAGCCTGTGTTTTGACTTTGTCCCTTCCTAATTATAAGCAGATAGGAACATGTATATATACCCTGCAGAGTCTTTCCAGAGGAAGGTGTGTTTCAATCCTAGCACTAGAATGGGCCAAGCTCTTCAGGCTGTCCTCTGTCTGTAACACTGAATGCCATATAAGTTAGACTTGAGTGTTTTGGGGCAGTTGAGCTTATATTAACCCAGTAGTACAAAATGAATTGGAATTGGAGAATGGTAATATTATTATTGTATTGAACTTGGTGGAGATATATATATATATATATATATATCTCCATCCATCCATCTTAGGTTAGAATTTTTATAGAATTTTTATACAATGGAATTAATTGTTAGGCACTTCACAAATGAACCCTGTTTTATTCTCTTGTATTAAATAGATTTATTTTTACTTTAGGTACAAAAAGAAGTTACCTCTGTGACATCCTGGATGTAAACATTTGGATTTGGGAAAGAATAACCAGATAGATAACAAATTTCTGCTGTATTAGTGTAGTATTTTCTTTCTTTTACTTTGTATATTCTTGTATATATCATGTAATCCAGTGTCTGAAATTTTGATTTTTTTTTTGTTTTAATAAAGACTAACACAAACTTAATGGTCACAAGTGATTGGGTTTCATAGTCTTTCATTTTTTTAACCTGTTATCCAAATTTTGTTAGAACATCTGTCATTTGTTATTGCCATTTTAAAAGAGGTAATTCATAATCCTCTTAGGGCAAAGAGATAAAACCAATAGTCTTTGTATTGTATCATTTTGAAAATAATTATGTTTAGTATGGGGAAACAGGAGTAAGATCTGATTTGCTTTCTTATTTAGAGTTAATACATTTTAGTAGATTTTTTTCTTTTTACTTTCATTTTCTATTAGTTAACTACATGTCTATAAAGAAGACATTCTTTATGAGTTTTTCATAAGAAACAAAGGACTTCTCCTTACTCTTCCTGGATTGACCGATTATAGCCCTCTTTAGGTGTGAAAACTGACTACTTACAGATATTTGTGATTGTGGGGTTGCAACTACATTTCACGGAATGAATGTAGTAGCTATATTCCAAAATCTTATGTAAACAATTGAGTCAAGGAGATTTTCGGTTTATGTCTGTTGTCTCTCCAAACGGAAAATACGGAATTAATTTTATTTCTTGAGGAAAGTTAATTTAAAATATTAAGAGCCAGTGTTCAGAATTCTACTCAGAGTTCCCTCCCATGCTCTACTTTTCTCCTTGAAACAAATTTGTCTTTCAAGATTGAGAGTTTTGTGTTTGCTAATTGGTTGTAGCATTCATTCAGGATATACTTAACTGAGTTTCAGCTATATATTAGATACTAAGCTGAGTAATATGAAACTAAATATAATTTGGAAATCTAACCTATTTAATACTATTCACTTATTTTTTTTCCAAGGTTTTAAAAAATGGTTATTAGGTATTGTAATTTTTGAAAAGGTTTTGTCAGTAGTTTTATTATATTTTCAATTGCTTAAAACTTCTAGAATATATATGAGTTTCTGTGAATCAGTGCTTTAATACCAAGCCTTAAGCATTTACTGATTTCTCAGGGACAGGTGGAAGAGTAATCAGGTTAACTCTTCACATTTAAATCCATAGCATTTTAAACACTGTTATTTAAAATGTCACAGTAAACTGAAAAAATAAAATATTTTACAGCCCTTTATATGCCATTCTTACCTACTTTCCTATAAATTGTGATATTCTCTTTATTTAGATGAGAAAAATGTTAGGAGTGCATCATTCTGCTTGGGCTGCCATAACAAAATACCACAGACTGGGTGGCTTAAACAACAAATTTATTTCTCACAGTTCTAGAGGCTAGAAGTCCAAGATGAGGTACCGACAAGGTAGGTTTCATTCTGAGGCCTCTTCTTTTGGTTTGCAGTTGGCCACCATCTAACATGTGCCCCTGACCTCTTTGTGTAGGTGTGTGGGAAGAGAGAAAGAGATCTCTCTCTCTCTTTCTTATAAGGCCACCAGTCCTGTTGGATTAGGGTTCTACTCTTACAACTTTATTTAACCTTAATTACCTCATAAAGGCCCTATCTCCAAATACGGAGAATTTTTGTGTTAAAGTGGTTTTGGGTTTCAACATGAGAATTTTTTTTTTTAAGATTTTATTTTTTTATTAGAGAGCACGAGTGGGGAGAGGAGCAGAGGGAAGAGGGAGAAGCAGACTCCCCGAGGAGCAGGGAGCCCAACAAGGGACTCAATCCCAGGACTCCAGGATCACTACCTAAGCTGAAGGCAGACACTTAACTCATTGAGCCACCCAGGTGCCCCCAACATAAGAATTTTAGGAGGATATACTTCAGTTAATAGTGGGTGAGCTCTATTTAAAGAAAATGTGATGTATAAAAATCAACACATACAAAAGTAACCGTTGACATTATAAAAGGAAAAGGAGCTAGATGCAGTCTCTGTCAACCAGGCATTTTATATACATTATCACATTTTATCATCCATCACAGTAATTGTGAGATGATATTATTTCTATGTTATAGGTAAGGATATTGAAGCCAGAGAGAATAGTGAAGTTAGAATTCAAACTTAGATTTGTCTCTCACTTGATGTGCTTGTCAGTGTTGCCCCATAAAAAAAGCTTTTATTTCCAAAAGTAGGCATTCTTTGGATCCTTTTTAAAAGTATGTTCCCCAGTCATTTGAAATATTTTACTTTGTTCATTACTTTCTATCCATCTTTATGTGTGTCCTCTAGTACAAGAGCTTCACATTTTGGAAATGTGTTTATAGAAACAACTATCAGTGTTTCTGGTTGAGGGGATAAAATGAAATTAAATAGATGGAAAGATGTTTTCAGATTTAAAGGGACATTATAAAATTGTGTTTTATGTATAATCATTTATAGGTATCAAGATTCTGAGAAATGATTGAAAGCAAGCATTTAAATGATCATTTATTGACTTACTAAAAACCATTTGATTTTACAATAGAGTCTAATTTACCATTCTTCTTAGCAGACTGTGTAATGATGTATACACAAGTTGTAATTTCCAGATATAGCCAACATTAGCATAATGATTGACTGAATGAATGAACAAGTGAATAGGTCTTGCCAGTTCACTATATTCCATTTCAACTCTGCTTTCTGTAATATATCCAGTTATCTCTATGACAGTGCTAGATACACAAAGGGGAAATCTTTAACCTGAGGCCTATGAGCTCCAGAGAAAAATAGTTTTTTTTATTTCACTTTTTTTTGTTAATTTGATATTTTGTTAATTTGATATTTATGGTTTTTTTTTCTGTCAAACACTCCAGGTAATGGATGTGTATTTCAATGACACCCTGTTTACTTAAAGCAGTGGCAGGCAGGATTTGGCCCTCAGGCTGTAGTTTGCTGATCCCTGATGTAGAAGAACAAAAGAGGGGAGGAAAAAGAATACTGTTAGAAAAGTTATAATTACCTTCATATTAGGAACGGGGGAATTGAATCTTTGGAGAAAGGCAACTATTTTTTTTTTAAAGATTTTATTTATTTGAGAGTGAGAATGAGAGAGAGAGAGAGAGAGCATGAGAGGGGGGAGGGTCGAAGGCAGAAGCAGATTCCCTGCTGAGCAGGGAGCCCGATGTGGGACTCGATCCCGGGACTCCAGGATCCTGACCTGAGCTGAAGGCAGTCGCTTAACCAACTGAGCCACCCAGGTGCCCCTATTTTTTTTTAATTTAAATTCAGTTTAACTAACATATAGTGTATTATTAGTTTCAGAGGTAGAATTTAGTGATTAATCAGTTGCATAGAACACCCAGTGCACATTCCATCAAGTGCCCTCCTTAATGTCCATCATCTAGTTATCCCATCCCCCCACCTACCTCCCCTCCAGCAACCCTATTTGTTTCCTATAGTTAAGAGTCTTCTTGTGGTTTGTCTCCCTCTCTGATTTTGTCTTATTTTTCCTTCCCTTCCACTGTTCATCTGTTTTGTTTCTTAAATTCCACATGAGTGAAATCATAAGATATTTGTCTTTCTCTGACTGACTTTGCTTAGCATAATACCTTCTAGTTCCATCCACATCATCGCAAATGGCAAGATTTCATTCCTTTTGATGGCTGAGTGATATTCCATTGTGTGTGTGTGTGTGTGTGTGTGTGTGTGTGTGTATAGAGAGAGAGAGTATATATGTGTGTGTATATGTATATATACACACACCCCATTTTCTTTATCCATTCATCAGTTGATGGAGATCTGGGCTCTTTTCATAGTTCGGCTATTGTGGACAGTTGCTGTAAACATTGGGGTGCAGGTGCCCCTTCATATTACTATATTTGTATCCTTTGGATAAATCCCTAGTAGTGCAATTGCTGGGTCATAGGGTAGTTCTATATTTAACTTTTTGAGGAACCTCCATACTGTTTTCCAGAGTGGCTGCACCAGCTTGCATTCCCACCAACAGTGTAGGAGGGTTCCCCTTTCTCCACATCCTCACCAACATCTGTTCTTTCCTGACTTGTTTATTTTAGCCATTCTGACCGGTGCGAGGGGGTATCTCATTGAGGTTTTGACCTGTATTTCCCTGATGCCAAGTGATGTTGAGCATTTTTTTATGTGTCTGTTGGCCACTTGTATGTCTTCTTTGGAGAAATGTCTGTTCATGTCTTCTGCCCATTTCTTGACTGTATTGTTTTTTGGGGAAAGCACCTCCTTTTGACTGCATCAGATAAGAAAACTGGTGCCTTTTGATTTGCTGTACTTGAGCCAAATCGACTTCCGAAATGTATCCTATTTTACCAGTACAAAAATAACATTCATTATAATCTTTCATTTGCAAAATGTATGAGTCACAGAAGCTGGTGGTTGCTGCAGGGTTGCCCCAGTTGATTGTATGTATCGTGCCAGGGGACTGTTAAAGGGACGAACTGTGTCCCCTGAAAAGATGGTGGGGCTTCTGTCCTAATGCCCAGTACTTATGAATGTGACCTTATTTGGAAATAGTGTTTTTGCAGGTGACTAAAATGAAGTCATTACGGTGGGCCTAATCCAGTATGACTTTGTCCTAATAAAAGGGGACATAGAGGGGCACCGGGGTGGCACAGTTGGTTAAGCATCCAGCTCTTGGCTTCAGCTCCGGTCATGATCTCAGGGTCATGAGATTGAGCCCTGTGTCAGGTCCTGTGCTCATCAGGGAGTCTGCTTGAGATTCTGTATTCCTCTCTGTCTGTCCCTCCTGCTCCTGCTCTCTCTCTCTCAGATGAAATAAATCCTGGGGAAAAAATGGGGGGGGCATGGAGGCAGACATACTGAAGGAAAGGGATGTAAAAACATGGTGAAAATAGCAGCTATAAGGCAAGGAATGCCTGAGGCCACAAGAAGCTGCGGGAGAGTCTTGGAATAGATTCTCAACCACCATCTTCAGAAGGAAACAACCCTGCCAACTTGATCTCACACTTACGGTGAGATGATAAATTTCTGTTGTTTAAGCCATCCAGATTGGGTCAGTTTATTACAGCAGTCCCAGGTAACTAATCAGGAACCTTCCCTAATTTTGACAAGTCTAGCCATATACCCATGGGACTCTGTAGTCCTTGAGAGAGCAACTTTTTCTAATGGACAACTATTGGCAGCCTCAACTCTCTTCTAAGAAACCCAGCTTACTCTTCATTGCAAACAGCTGAAGGCAGCTCTGCCATCAAATGGATTTAATGTATTCAATTGATCAATGTATAACAATTGGTTTATTGTGTTATCAGTATGCTTGAAGATTCTTAGATGTATAACCAGTTCAGATAAATTAAAATTCCCAACATTATCTAGCTTGATCATTTTTATTTTTAGTAAACAACTACAGACCTCAAAACAGTTTCTACATTAGATTCTGTACATGAAAACCAGAAAATGTAATAGTATTACTTAAAATATCCTTTATTTACTGTGTTCTCTTACCTAAAAATTGTGTGCATTTTTCTCATTTTTTGGTTGAGAAAGGGGATAGGGAGGGTTATCAGATGGCAAGGGACTTACGATCAAGGGAAATGATACCAGTGATAAGCTGTCAAAGTTTTCCTTCAGTCATATCGTCTCAGATTATAGTGTTTGCTTGAGAGAAGAAATAACTACCAAAGACAAAGAGCATATCTTCAGTTTTACTGTACAACTGAATTGCACAATTGAATCTACAATTGCAAAGTGTATGAGGTCATTTCTTAAACCACCGCACGATACACGCACATATAGTTAGAAAACTTACAAAAATGTTTTTTAAAAATTTGTGTCCAATAGAATTTATTCTATTTTACTGGCCAAGCATAAAAAATATACTCCAAATGCACCTTTCTCTAATTTTCCTCTCACAATCTAACCAACATTTATTTATAGCTAATCTGTATATGCACAAAACTGAGGGCATTAGTTTACTGTGGTAGTCTTTTTAAAGAAGTTGTAGAGTTTAAAAGTATATTTTTGTATCACGTGTACTTAATATTTTTAAACATTAAGAAACACACACTGCTTCTCCAAACCTCTACTGCTATTTGCTCACCATTTTTTAAGATGAAGACTCCCATTTCTCGTTGAATAATTTATGCAGTGCTGAGCAGGCTCGCATGGCCTCATGACCACCTTAAGCAAGTATTTGTTCTTTTGGGCATAAATCATTTCATCAGTCTGGGTGTTTCTTGAGCTTCCACTCAGAGGGACTCACTCCCAGGCAGGAGTTCTCATATCTATATTTGAGAATGATCCTTATATAATACCACTTTTAAAGATCAATCCTTTTCTCATCTTCCCTCTGGATTTTCCGTGACTGGGGTGGGGGTGGGGAGGGAAAGAGAGAGAGAGAGAGAGAGAGAGAGAGAGAGAGTGTGTGTGTGTGTGTGTGTGTAGTGTGACTAGAGTACAGTGCTGGCATCTTGCTGGGGAGGGACAGGTGCAGGTTTAGGATTACATCTTCTCTTAGAAGGCTCTTTAATGATACCTTTATATTAGAAAGAAGGAAGGAAAGAGCACAGAGGCAGAATTGATGGAATCCCATAAAATTATTAACAGCTAATACCACATGTCAGGCACTATGCTGCTACTCCTTAACAAATATCTCCTTAACGTATCTGAGTGCCCTTTAGCTCTTTTTCTTCTGTAATGTAAATACATCCTGGGGGGCCTGTTCTTCCCTTCCCTTTCTTCCTGACCCTGGACTGTTTTTTACCTTTCCCATCACCTGCTGCACTGTTTGTTTCCTGACTCATTAAAGGCACATGGGTGGTACAAGAGAGAATGCTACCCTGTGTTGGTCCATTAAATTCACTATAACAACAGGATCTAAAAAGGAAAAATAGAGACCTGAAATAAAGCAGATACTTATCATCCAGGAGCTTGATGCTATTGATAGTTATGAAGAGAGGAAACCATTAAGTATCATTCCGAACAGTAACTGGATGTAGTTGAAAGAGTGCTGGACTTGAGGTCAGAAAACCTGGGTGCAGGTCTCAGATCTATCACTTTCAGCTGTATGGCTTTGAACAAGTCTGCTCTTGCTGAGCTTCAGTTTCCCATCTGTCAAACAGGAAATTCCTGCCTTGTCCACCAAAGTTACAGGCATCAAATAAGATAATCTGCTTAAAACTCCCTTGTAAATGATAAAATGTAAACATAGTTGTCTGGTAGATTAAAGTGGATATAAAAGAGAATAATTTCTATGGTTTAAAATTGTTAATAAAATTTTATTAAAATTTGCACAGGTAAACTAAAGATGGTTGGCCTTCCTGTCAGAGGGCTCATTTTCATTTTTTTTTTCCTGTGTATTCATTAACTTGCTGGCCCTGTGTGATGACGTCAGTGTCTTCATTCAACAGTCTTCTAAGCTCAACTTCTAGGGGCCTGCAAAGATGGTCTTTGCCATCACCAAGCCAGTTCCTAAAAGGCAGACTTGAATCTCACTTGGAAAAAAAATGCAGTTCCACACATTAATGGGAAGAAGAATTTTTGGCTATTGGTATAAAACAATGATCACTGCCAAAAATGAAAGAAATATTAGAGAAAAGCTTCCATGACGATGACTTCCTGCAGAAAATTTGATCCGACCTTCCACCGCTGGATAAACTACTTTCATTTTTAAGATGTATCCAGAAACCACACTGATATCTTGGTCCCCTAGAAAATATATATACATTATTTTAGTTACAGAGTAAGTAATTATCAATTAAGAGTAAGAAGCAGGAAAAACCAATGTATTTCTCTTAAGTCCTCTGTAATTATAAGAGGGAAGATACTTCTTTCATAAGCAGGGATAAAATGTCACAAAAGAAGGGTGGTAATCAAATGTAAAAAGAATGTGATGCTTTTTCATGTCCCAGATGTCAAATGTGCCCATTGTTCACTACTAGATAATTAGATAACTCAGTCTACTCTGAGATGACTCAAGAAAGTGATTGACATTATTGCTTTTGAACCATTCCAAAACAAGGGCATTAGGGAACTGGTCGAGAACAATTAGTTGAGACATAAAAGTGGCTTTCTTCTTGCCTGGTCAGAAATCATTTTAGCATATGACATTGAGACAATGGAGACATCATTTCCAGAAGAGAGGAGGCCTGATAAACAGCAATTGCCTGTAACTACAACAAACTCATATGCACCTGACAAAAATTTTGTTTTAATACCACTTGACAAATCCTATATCTGATGGGGGGTTAACACCCAAAATACACAAAGAACTCCTACAACTCAAAAGTAAAACAAAACAAAAATCTGATTAAAAAATGGGCAGAGGATCTGAATAGACATTTTTCCAAAGAAGACATATGGATGGCCAACAGACAACATGGAAAGATGCTCAAGATCCCTCATCATAGAAATGCAAATCAAAACCACAATGATACCACCTCACCGGTTAGAATGGCTATTATCAAAAAAGGCAAGAAATAACAAGGGTTGGCAAGGATATGGAGAAAGGGGAACCCTCTTGCACTCTTGGTGGGAATGTAAATTGGTGCAGCCACTGTGGAAAACAGTGTGGAGGTTCCTCAAAACATCAAAAATAGAAGCACTGTATGACCCAGCAATTCCACTTTGAGTATTTGAAAAAAAAAAAAAACACCCATTCAAAAAGAAATATGCACCCCTGTGTTCAATGCAGCATTATTTACAATAGCCAAGATGTGGAAAAAAGTGTCCATTGGTGGATGAATGGATAAAATGTGATAAACATACACACACAGGAATGCATGCACAATGGAATACTATTCGGCCATAAAAAATGAAATCTTGTCTTTTGCAATAACATGGATGGACCTTGAGGGCATTATGCTAAGTGAGATAAGTCAGAGAAAGACAATACCATATGATCTCACTTATACATGGAATTAAACACCAAGCTTGTAGATACAAAGAACAGACTGGTGGTTGCCAGAGTGATGGGGGGGGGGTGGGCAAGATGGCTGAAGGGGATCAAAAGTCCAGGGTTCCAGTCGTAAGGATATAGTGTACAGCATGGTGACTAGAGTTAATACTGTGCGTATTAGAAAGTTGCTATGAGAGCAGATCTTAAAAGTCCCCATCACAAGAAAATTTTTGTAACTGTATGATGTTAACTAGACATTGTATCGATCATCTCACAATATCTACATATATTGAATCATTATGTTATATGTCTAACACTAATATAATGTTATATGTCAATTATACCTCAATAAAAAAATTTATCACTAATATTTACAAAAGAACTCTCTGCTATAGTTCTCAGTCCTGCATTAGACTCACTGGAAGAGACTTTTGCCCCAACCCAATTAAATTAGAATCTCTTCAAAGTTGGGGCCAAGATACTGGTATTTAATTTAAAATGCTCCCCAAGTGATTCTGGTGTACAGCTGGGGTTGAGAACCCTTAGGGCCAAGGCTTCCTCAATCTTCTATGTGAGTTCCTTCTCTCCAACACCTATAGGTCTGGGCTTGGGTGATGCACAGCCACCAGCCTCTGTCTCATGTGGGACTCAAGAGGAAAGCTTTTTAAGCCTGCCCTTCCATCTTCTATTATGGAATGGACAGAAGTAGCCAGTGCCTTTCCTGGCAGGAAGGGCTGCCTCCTTTGCCCTGGCTCTGCTCGCCACCCTCCTTGGAACAAGCAGTTAAAATAGCAGGCCCACCACGGGTAGAGCTGAGGAGGAACCTAGCTGAGCTCCTTCCTGGAAATGTAGAGAAGCTTTGCACGTGTCTTGTAAGCACACTGGCTCCTGCCCTGGAGAAGAGGAAGGGGTAGTATCTTCTGTCAGTGGACTTTATGCATGTGAAGTGGTTCTTTTTTTTAAGTTTTTTTTAATGGCCCTGTGCTGGTGGCATCCTCCGGGCCTCTGTGGGACTCAAATCTCCCAGGTATCTCCCATCAGTGGACTTCCACATGAAGTGGTTCTTAGAACTGATTTTTAAAAGTGAGGCTGGGGTAAAATGACCCTAAATGCTGTGAAAAATACTGACTGAGGTTAAATATAGTTCTTACAATTTGCTCCACTGACCCACTCCTAAAAACGGGGGGGGGAGCATGTCCCATCCACTTCTACTTGTCCTATTCACACTAAATGCTTCAAGAAAGTTTACAGGATTTTCCAGATCCAATCTAAAGTTCTAGAAATAGGTTTTCCTGTAAGTGTAAAACTCATTTACATTTCACAATTTGGATAGCTGTTTATATGTACTTAAAAGAGTTTTAAAACACTTTGGGCTTAGATGGGTGGGTCTGTGTGCTGGGGAGGGGCAGGGCACATCCTCCCCAGTTGCTGTGTTGCTGTTTTCCAACAAAGCTGGAGGGAGTTGGCAACAGAGGGGCAGGATCTGGTCCTGGCTTTGCAGTCCTGGCGTGCTGAGTAACTCCCCTCCGTGGACCAGTACTGTTGTCTATAAGTACTTTTGGAGTAGGGAGAGGGAGAGACACTTGTGCTTACCAGAGTCGTGTCTTAATGCTTCATCTTTTATCATCTGGAATCCATCTCCACCATTGGCGAGGAAGCTTGGGAGGACTACCTTATATGTCTTATCCATTTGGAGAGGCTCATAACTCGGCACTTGACATTGGGTACAAAGAACATCTAATTTGACCACTCTGTTCCCAGGTTTTCGGGAAAGATCATACACCACTTGAATTCCTAGAAAAGAAATGAGTCTGTTTTCTCACCGGATCCAAGCGATCTAAGAAAGAGATTTTGGCCAAAATCTGGAATTAGGGCATTGGGCTTGGTTTTCATGGGGTGTGAGCTTGAGTGAAGTTTCAGCGGGGGAGTTGAAAGGACACTGCAGCATTTGGTTAGGTTTATACTTAAGTCCCGGGAGGTCTAAGATCCACTGGGAGGGAAATTGGCTCTGGCTCACAATGGGCCAGGGTTAGCAATGCAGGAAGAAATCACATCTTTTTAAAATCCTAAATGAATTGGTCAGCAACTTGGTTCAATGGCTTTGGAAAATGAGAAACAGATGAGAGGTGCATAACATTTGTTAGAATTTTGAAGACTCCAAAAACAAAAAAAATTTTTTGAAGACTACTAAATGGTAATAATTTGGGCTTGGATGACTTTCACAAAACAGGTAACTACCCAGCACTGTGCTGGAGCATCAAAATCCTGCTGCCCCCCAGCTCTCTCCTGGAAAAATGCTGAATGTTTGGGGTACCCGACAGGGAGCAGGTGGGCCTCCAGCACCCTCTGCAACCCCTCAATCCCAAGAATGGGGGGGTTCTATAGAGGGAGGACATGACAAAGCAATCACACCATCAAGTGAGGCCTACCATCTATAGTTAAAAAAAGAGGCCAAAATATGGTGTCACAAAGTTAATAAAGCTATTAATATTATTTTAAAAAAATAACTCATTGAACTGTGGAAATCATTATTGACCAAAGTGTTTCAGAAGTCCTTGTCAATTTGGGAAGCATTTGTTTCAATTCCACTTTCACTGTGATCTGTGAGATGAGCAGGGCACATTTTCTCACTGCATTCAGAGAGGTTGAAAACCTGCCCCAGGTCACAGTGGAGCCAGAACCAGGTGTCCCAATGTGTCTACGTAGGTGGCTTCCCCTCCCAGAAATCATCCCTGTTAAAACGGATTGGACTCTGCATTCCTCTGAATCTCTGCATGGTTCCAGGCAATTATGAATAGAACAGAGGGCTGTGTGTTTGTTTTGTTTTTAGCAAAGAACAGTGAATGTCTAAACAACTAAGATTTTAACAGAAACTAGACCTCAGGGGCGCCTGGGTGGCTCAGTCGTTAAGCGTCTGCCTTCGGCTCAGGTCATGATCCCAGGGTCCTGGGATCGAGCCCCGCATCGGGCTCCCTGCTTGGTGGGAAGCCTGCTTCTCCCTCTCCCACGCCCCCTGCTTGTTCCCTCTCTCGCTGCCTCTCTCTCTCTGTCAAATAAGTGAATAAATAAATAAAATCTTTAAGAAGAAACAAAACTAGACCTCAAGGCAGCTGACCTGCTTAAAATCTGGAGGGCCAGTTCCTGTAGAGGGTCCATCTGATGTCCAACTCAGATGGAGCAAGTACTGCTCACTGCCAGGGCCTCGGGCTTTGACCCTGACCTAATCTCAGTAGTCTGGGAGTCCATGGCCACCGAAAGACCACGCATTCTTGTTGCGTGGGGGAAGACCGAAACAAATCTGGCCATGGTGGTCCTGTGTGGGGGGAGCTAAGGCAACCGGCAGGACCTCCTGGCTCACGCTGAAGGGTGACTTACCGCCCACCTGCAGGAACTCTCCAGTAGATTGGCCATAGCGGTGCACACTGTGCTCAAAGGCCTTCTTCAGCGTCGAGCCTTTTAACTGGATCAGGTCAAAGGTTTCCCCGAAGGGCAACACAGCAGCCAGGTTCTCCCAGGTAATTGTGCCTGAGGGTAGTTGTAGATGAGGCAAGAAGAAAAACAGCTGGAGAATAAGCTCACCCCAAGCCCAGTTTCCGTTAAGCCTGGTGGGGATGAGGAACGCTCTCAGGACAACGCCAGCGGTGTCAGGTTCCTGACAGGGAGGGAGCAGATTCAAGAGGCCTCTGGCCGTGCTCTCTTCCCCTGGGCAAGAGGGCAGGAGCTTAGACATCGGTGGCTCCAAAGTCACCGGTGCTCTGCCCTGGATCCTCGGCTTGCGGCTGGATCTTCAGTGGGCGTTAAGTGTTGCTCCGTTCCTCCATGCGTCCGTCCCTGCCCCGTCCCTGTCTGACAATGAGCCGAGCCTGGGGCTTCACACGGAGACTACCTGGTTTTGATAGCATGTGAGGGACGATTGCAAGAGTGTCCCGAATGTCTGTCTAGTTGGTTTGTTTTCCCATATGATTATCTTGGCTATCTGTAATTGCACTAAAAACATTTAATCCAGTACAGAAGACTGGCAATTTGCCCCTTCTCTTTCCTGATATCAAGGAAGAGACTGTCGGTATTTTGAATTGGTCAGCAATAATTAGTATTTAGCTTTGTGAGTCAGAAGCTTAGATCAAGACTGGGTTCCATTAACCCCAGCTGCTAGCTCAGCATGTGAATACAGACGAGAACACACAAGCATGGGTGTGTCCTTCTGGTTAGGCACTGACTTGAGTAGCAGTGGACCCGAACTGAAGAGACTGACATTGTGGTACGTGGCTGACAGCAGAGATGAGCCGAGGGTCCCCGTGGGCATGGCCAGAGACAGAACACGCTGGGTTAATGGCCCTGAGCCCGGGAAGCTTACCGTTGTTCCTTTTGTCAATGGGCGACCGAATGGCACCTCCATTTAAAATGCACATGGACACATGGTTCCAGGACACTTCATCCGGGTGTCTAATATTGTTGTTAATCTGCAACGGTAGCATGAATTTACATTAGCTATTCTAGATCTTCCTCCTTAGGATCAGTTCCAGGAATCTGGTTTGCTCCACCAGGGAAATAAAGCTGCTTCTTCCCTGCTCCTGCGTTCCCAGAGACTTCTCAAGTATAATTAGAACTAGTTTTATGCTCTGAGAAGCAAAAATAAGACAAGTCCCATGTCAGACTTTTAGAAGCAAGTAGCTCCGAGCCCACTTTCCTAAGACCCCTGTCCTTGCAGGCCAGTGGGCCTCAGCAAGACTGGCTCTTGTGTTAGGACAGGGCCTCATGCAGACTGGCCTGCCATGCTGTACCCCCCACCCCTGCCTCCTGCAGGCCCTGCGCTTGCTCCTGAAGGCAGGACCTCCTATCAACATGATCCCTGGACCCCATGTCAGGTCCCTAGCCAATTCCCAAGTTGGCAATTTCAGAGGCAGAGAGACAGCAGCCTGAAATGGCAGAATCCATTTCACTCTTTTCTTTTACAAAACAGATGTTTAGTTACAAGAAATAAGATGAATACATTCTGATTTGAAAAAAAAAATTGTGCAAAAGCAAAAGTTTTCTCATACTTGCGTCTGCTTCTTAACAGAGTGGTAAGCACTGCTAATAGCTTGTTTCCTTCCAGACCTTTCTCTAAGCCTTCCTACACTGACTTCTCTTTAGCTACTTCTTCTGCATGATTGCCTAGTGCTGGGGAGCCCACACTGGTCTCACCTTGCAAAGTGTGAACACTGTTATTTCCTTGGCAGTCAGTTACTGAGTGTGTATATGCCAGGCACCATGCCAGGCACCGCGCCAGGCACAAGAGTCAGCCCCCTGCGTGCAGGCTTCGGTGGGAGTGCTGAGTCTGACCTGGGGACCCTGGCTCAGCATAGCCCCCAAGGGGCTGCCACAGCCAGTCTGCCTGCAGCGAGTTAGAGGGGGTGTTTTCATGCATGATATGTTCAGCCACAGGACTTATTATATAATTGCATGTTGTCATTCTCTGCTTCTGAAGGAGGCTCCTAGTGACACAAGGCCTGGTTCTCTGGAGCCAAGAGGACAGATCAGGGAGACACGCTGGCCAAGTTAGGCCCAAGCAGATGTGTCTTACCTACTGTGTCTGCATCTTCAGGGTAGCGAACTTTTGTGTATTGAGACCATCTTACAAAAGGAAAGCAACATCCAAAATGAACAACTTCCAATAAAGGCTTCAGTACTCGTAAAGCAATAAAGTGATGGTCAGCTGGTCTAGATCAGGTATCTTCCCAAGGTACTCAGTATGAGTCCACCTCAAGCTTTAGTTTGGGCACTAATTTTTAAAAAATCCTCAATTCCGTAATTATCAGGTTGTCTCTCCTTGCATCCTTCCCCGCTCCCTCCTCCGTCCCTAGGCACAGGGCCCACACTCCAGGGGACCACTCACCATAGCATCACAAATCAGGTTGCCCATGTTGCATTCCTTAAAGCGGCATGATTGAGTGGAGCCATCCAGATAGACAACTGTTTTCCCCAATTCCTGAGTAGAATAATTATCTAATTTTATCCTCCATTTGTTAATGTCTGCTTTTATGCTTGGATCTGGAAGCATGCAAAGAAGAAAAATCAGCCTATAGTTAAGGCAGCACTCACACTGGCCTACATTTTGGAGAAGGAATCAAAGATCATTTAGCTTACCTGTTATGACCATACATTTCTTTATCGTAATTTTTCAACATTTTAGTTTGTGAAATTTCCTCAGAAAATTCTGTTTCTTGGTAATAAGACCAGGAACGGATCTTAATTTAAAGATGCACTGAGTATCCTTTTTTTTTTTTTAAAGAAAGATTTATTTATTTATTTATTTTAGGGAGGGAGAGAGAGAGAGAGCAGGTACATGCACGCATGAGTGGTGGGGGCAAGGGTGGGAGAGAATCTCAAGCAGACTCCCCGCTGAGCACAGAGCCCCACTCAGGGCTCAGTGTGGGGCTCAACCTCAGGACTGTGGGATCATGACCTGAGCCGAAACCAAGAGTCAGATGCTCAGCCAAGTGAGCTAGCCAGGTGCTCCAGATGCACTGAATATCCTAACATCAACTCATCACAGCTGAATGAGCACCTGTGGGCCCACCTGGGCTAGCACTACTGGTGGAGGCGGGGGGTGATGAGACTCGTTCAGTGCAGGTATAAAGGGCCTGCTGAGGTCTTTGTGGTCCCGGCCTCTCCCTCTGGCTACTGAGAGGTCTGCGTTGTGACCGCTGGCTCTGCAAGGCACCCCACTGCCCATCCTTCCCTGATCTGATCACGGAAAGCAGTAGAAGGCAGGTGAGAGGAGCAGAGGAGTGTGGTCATGTATCCTACGTGCAAATGGGCGACGTAATATGTACTTTGCTCTGAGTCCCAGACAAAGAAGAAAGAAAGACCCTCCCTCATCTGATAAAGAAAGGAACTTGCCATAGGCATGCTGCTCCTGGTGGTGGGGCTGGGGCTGGAGACCTGCTCCACTCAGTGTGACCCCCTTCGCTTCAGTGAGCAGCCCTCCTCTGGCCATGAGCTGAGAGCGGCTTTCCCATACCTGGCTGAAGCTTGAAAAGGCACAAGGAGCAGTGACACCGTGTCTGATGCCGAGAGGACTTGGGGAAGCAAATGGGATTTGGGGCATCTGGGTGTGTTTTCAATCCTCTTGTCCAGGAAGAGGGCAAACTTAAGGGAGAACTGAATTCTTCAAGGGTACTACAGTCTGGTCCTGAAACATTAACAACCCAGCAAGCCCAGCCATCTAATTTTCGGGTTGGTGGAACCCTCTCTGCAGTTTCACGTACCTTCGAGAATGCTGCTGTTGAGAAGAATGGGGTTTCCGTGTGAAGCGATGACGTTTCCTTTCTCATCAAACTCAACCTTCAAACAGCCTAGGTATTTGCCGAAAGCATAGGCCTGGACCACAGGAACCTTCCGCCCGTCATCAGACGTGACTATGAACGGGTACTTCCCAGCCGGCACCTCTCTGGAAGGCGGAGTGCCTAAAACAGAAGAGCCAAAGCTGGTCACGTCCGCCCTCGCACACGGCTGGCTGCAGAGGACAAGGCCTTCTGAATGGCTGAGCTAGCTGCTGCCCTCCACAGCTGGTCTTTTAGAGCCATCCTTGCGCATCTCTCCCTGTTTCCAAAGGCCCTGTGGTAAACGGATCCTTCCACTTTCACCTCAGCAGGAAGCTCTTCCCAGGTCCATGGTCCGGCGCCTGGAGCAGCGGGGGACACAAAGAGGCAGTACTGCCCAGACTATCCTACCTCCATCCTGATCCAAGCTCCATTCCCAGGGGCCGGGTAGACTAGCCAAGCCACTTCATTTCCCTGCATTTCAGTTTCCTCACCTGTAAAATGGGTGAAATAACAATTCCGATTTCACAGGGCTGTTGAGAGGATTAAATGTCTAAACTTCCTAGCATAGTGCCTGGCACAGAGTAGGAAATAAATGCATATTTCTTTCCCTTATGAGGGGATGGCAAGCTCTAGAAATCCTAGACACATGATCTAGAGCTCGGAATCCTTAATGGAAGATGGGCAGAAGTGACAAAGCCTGTCCTCAGGTTTTGCTGCTAAAATCTGCATCCCTTTAGGTGCCTTTCAGAAGAGCTGCGTTGACTGGGAGTCAACTAGCACGCACACTCCTCACCCAGCCAGACCTCACATTGGCCAGGTTCTGCTGCCTTCTGTGTCAGAGGGTCCCCAGGGGACGGCCTGGGAGCTAATGCCTCACCCAGAGGCTGAAGGGCTCACCCCACCACTGCCTCCTGGATGTGCGCTTGCTCGCGGGTGGGGAGGGAGCCCGGCTGCATGGAGCATGGGCCCTGGCCCCTCATCTCTTGGCATGTTTCAGGTCTGTACCTGCGACCCTCTCCTTCAGAAACACCTTACCACAGAGATAAGAACCTGGTTTGGCTGTTCTGAATCAGACTATAGAACGGATACCCTTGAACCCACTACTGTTTCTATCAGCCCCCCACCCACCACACCCTGGACCAGTCCTTCCTATTAGATGTTTACAGAGGGCCCAGGAATCTTCAGCACATGTTAGCTACTCACAAGGACCAGTTATGAGAGTTGGCCCCTAGATCTCATTTCATCTTCTAAGCATTCCATGAGGCAGGTTCTATTACTGTTCCCACTTTACAGCTGAGAACATTGGTTGTCATAGGCAACGTGCCCAAGGTCACACTGGTATGTGTGTTATGTGCAGTATGTCTGGTATGTGAAGGAGAGCGGACAGAAAAGCAGGCCTGTGAGGCACGGGAGCTTCTGTTCTCTCCACTACCCAACACAGCCTACAACTGCTAGTCTCGTAATGCCCACAAGAGCTGGCTGCCCAGGGCCACTTCCTAAATCCAACGCAAGCCCAGAGGCTGCACCTTTGTAGCCCAAGCTGCTTCTGGGTTTCTCCTTTCACCTAAGACGAACTGGGGTGGATATGGTGAAAATCCTGCTCCTTCCCTGCTCTTATGCCAGGAGCAGTCCCCATCCAGCTCCAGAACCAGAGAGCAGAAGTGCAGCAAATACCAGCGCCTCCCAAGCAGGAAACAGCTGTTGCCAACCTTAATTTCTCATTTTCTCACTCCCTCTGGGAAAAAAAAACAAAACAAAAAGTTGTGGAACTCTACTTTTCCGAAGGCACCCGACTTGAGACCCAGTGCGGGGCCTGTCCCATCTCTACTTGTAGAGTCCAACCCCCTGGGTGACTGTCAAACACTGGCTCTAGCAGCTGTAGATGATCTCATGCACGGCAGGGGAGCAGGGAAGGTTAACACTGTCATCATCCTCATTCTGTTCTGTGCCGGTTCTTATTGGGGCAAACCTGGAGCCTGGACCAGGGGGCGTGGCAGCCCCCTCTCACCTTCTCACCTGGGGAAGGTTAGGGACAGTGGTTCCTCCTCTGAGCCCAGAGATGCAGGTGCCAATTGGGAGGTGCAGTTCCCAATATGTCCACAAGGTGGCGGAGAACACCCCCTCCGGGAGGAAAAGGCACTAAATCAGTTTCGAAAGGACTGGCAGTTTCCTGGAAACCTTAGAGAAGGGCAAGCCTGACCTTTTTTTAGCCTTTGTTATTCTACCTCATACAGACATAACCAAACTTAAAATGAATGTAACAGGAATTTCGACGATCGGGTCAAGTGCCTCATCAAATCAGCACGCATTCTACAAATAGGAGCTACTAACCCAGCTCCCGTCTGACAGGGGACATTCTCAGTTCCAAAAGGCCTTGATGTTCCTTTTGTTAGACCATAAGACATGTCATCTGCTTCTTGAGGGGACTTAATCAGGAACAAGGAGGATGCTTCCCAGTGGCTGAGGCAGTAGCTGGTCCATTTTGGCTCATCTCTGCTTTCTCCACAGCTGAGTGCTCTCTTGGCAAGCTCAGAAAACCACTGGCAGAGAAAGCAATCCAAGGCTTCACATTTTCCGTACCATCCAATTCAGCGAAAGATGCTCATGCCCAAAATATTTCCACACAGAGCCACACATCTGTCTTTAGAAACCCAACTTTTCATCTTGGCAGGAAGGAAAGTCACCAGAACTCTATTTCAGCCATCTAAGCAAATAAATAATCTGGGAACCAAATGTGGAGAAACCGTGGGATTGAGGGCTGACATTTAGACTTGGTAAATGGGTCACTTCCCAGCACAGTGCAAATGCCTGATAGAACCATCAGGACTCTGCCCTGGGAGCCTTGGCCACAGCAGCTCCTCAGGAATGTGACAGTTCCAAGTACAGGCCTGGACAACTGCCCGGCCAGTAGCCAGAAGGGGCCAAGACAGTGGATCACGTGGTGGCAGAGATGCCAGGGAGTAGGTCTTCGACATGGTTTTCAGTTGGCTGAATGAATTATAGAATATTTCAAGGCAGTCTTCGCTACAATTTTAATGTCTGTGGGAACTGGTTTAAGAACTTCCATATTTCCCATGTGGTACCTCTACGCAATGAAATATGAGTCAGCCCTAAGAAAGGATGAGATCTTGCCATTTCTGACAACATGGATGGACCTGGAGGGTATTGTGCTAAGTGAAATAAGTCAGACCGAGAAAGACAAATACCACATGATTTCGGTCTTATGTGGAATCTAAAACACAAAACGAATGAAACAAAAAGCAGAACCAGACCTATAAATACGGAGAACAAACTGGTGGTTGCTAGAGGGGAGGGGAGTGGGGGGGATGGGCAAAATGGGTGAAAGGGAGGGGGAGACACAGGCTTCCAGTTATGGGATGAATAAGTCACGGAAATGAAAGGCACAGCGTAAGGAGTACAGTCAGTGATACTGTAGTGGCGCTGTATGGTGGCAGGTGGCAGCTACAGCGGTGGTGAGCCCGGCATAATGCAGATGCCGAATCACACTGTTGTACACCTAAAACTAATGTAACACTGTGTGTCAACTATACTCAAAAAAAAAAAAAAAAAAAACTTCCATACTTCCTATGAAAGGACTGGATAAAAATAATTAGTAATTTGTATATTTCACATGATTGCTTCTAAGGGACTTGGGTCTCTTTTTTAACTTATTTGGAAGTACTTGGTCTGTCTACTTCTCTACATTTCCTCAGGCCAGCCACACTCGTGGTCAGCATTATCTCGTGCCTGGGTTACTGCAACGGCCTCCTAACTGGTCTGTATGCTCTTCTTTGCCTCTTTCTAATCCAGTGTCCACACAGCGGGCCTGAGTGGTCTTTCTAAAACATAAGTATGATCATGTACTCCCTGATTTAAAAGATCTCCTACTGTCTTCGGAAAAACATGGCAGTTTTTGACATGAGGATCATAACCTACATGACATGGCCCTTTCTTGCCTTGCCAGCTTCACCTAGACCAACTGCCCAGCATGTCAGCGAACCTAGCTTCTCCCCTTCCCAGGCCACACCCACCGAAGCCTTCGAGTATGGGGTGCGACCTGGAACCAAAGGCCAACACGCGCGCTTGTTAAGTCATTCAGCTTCAGCTCAGTCATCTCTAAAATGGAGAAAATACTGGCCTATAGGCTTGCGGGGCGGATTGCAGAAGTTAACGCAGCTAAGGGAGCCGGACTCAGGTACATGCTTAATAAAGATGAGTGATCATTGTTGACGAGTCAGCTCCTGGATGTCTTTCTGATCTTAGCCCAAATGTCAGCCTTTCAGGAGAATGCTGTGTGCTGATCCCCCAGTCCTGGTCAGGTCTTCCTATATATGCTCTTACAGCATCTGGCACCTCTCCATTCACAGCGTGCTTTGTAATTATATATAAGAGGATTGATTTATTTGCATGCTGAAAAAAAAGTCTGATCAGGGTCAATATCCGTTTTAAGACAAGTTCCAGGAGATCAGAGGCTGCTGTGTCTCCAGGGTTTGCCCAGCACATAGACGGCACTCAATAAATGTTTGTTGAATGACTAAGCTTGAGTAGTTTAGCCAGCGCTTTCCCAGGGACCAAACAAGACTTCTGCGCTCTCCCTGTAGTGAAATCCCTATGTAAAGGGAGCAATGTCTGTGTGCCCTCCCCACCCCCCCCAATTCCCTCCCAATTCAGTTTTTTAAACTCATGAGCTGAGTGGGGGCTTGTAAAGCAGAACCGGGGCTGGGAGTCAAGAGAATGGGTTTTGGGGCTAGCTCAGTTTCAATGTGGTTTCATAACCTTGAGAGAGACATTTAGCTCCTGGGGCCTACATTTATTTCCTAAATTTGTAAAACAAGAGATTTGATTAGTGGTTTAACCCAAAAGTTGCTTAACTTTTTTTTTTTTTTTAAATTAAGCAAGGAGATCTTCCGCCTGCAGGAAATCTTGTGGCAATGCCAGCCGTAAAGCAGACTGCTCAGGTCGTGCAGGCTTCAGCGGCCCTGGGGCCAGAGTCCGGCTCCGGGCTCCCTGCCGTGAGTGCTCTTCAGGTCACAGGGCAGACACCACTGGCCGACGGGCCCCCGGTGCCCAGCCAGTCAGCTGAGGCTCTGTGTCCTGCCTGTTGTAAGAGCAGCTTCAAGTGTCCAGGACCCAGGGCTCTC